CTTTTTGATCAAGCCAATGACTAGGCAGCAATGCCAGGAAATACACAATTTTTAGAAAGCACTCTCCCGTATATGCCGCCATTTGGGCTACGAACCCTTTGCAATCCGCAAATGTCTAGTACTCGTCCTATGCTTCTAATTCGACAAAACGGTGCGAGCTAGACAACAGACGGAATGGAATGTATGAATATCAGTGAGAGATTGTCTTAGCGGTAGGCCTCAGAATTGAGTGGCACCCGTATATCATTATCATCGTTCGACCTAAATATTATATTCATAGGCCATTTCAAATAAATCAACATGATCCAACCACTCAGGACTACAAATGAGGTACATATTTCGACCATGAAACCGTCTGAAAAGCACTCTCAGGCAAGCTTCTCAATCCAATCAAGTCTTCCGTCAAGATAAACCCTCGACCCACGCAATATATACCACACAGAAAGGAAACTGGAATCAAGGCCCGAAGAGGAATTTCTAATTGAGGATCCTGCTCAGGGTCAATATTCCTAAGCTTTGAAGCAAACCGGCCGATCCATCTTTTGGATTCTGGTTTGTGGTTCAACATAGCTTGTTCCCTTTCTTGTCTCACCTCTGCTCGGAACATAGTTTTCTGAAAGTATGCACAAAGGGGGGCTCCAATCAACGCATAGGCTAGAGTATTCACACTAGCAATACGCCAAAGTAATTTTTCTGTTGCGGTGGGGAAATGAGAATTCCACGCAACGAGATATATAGCACTAAAAAAAACAATTGTCGGGACGGCAATTGTCTCAGCCAGGGCATCCGCATTCAGGAAATTATGACTCGGAATGCGATCATATGGTCGTCGCTTAGGCCGAGTTGCCAGCGGTACATGCATGTAGTGAAGAATCTGCATGTAATATCTCCAAAATCGAGCAAGAAACCCCTGATCCCGCGAGAGGTAGTCAAATGGTGTTTCATACCACTTCGATTCGGAGACTTGATGATTTTTTCGAATTGTAGCCACAGAGGCATTGAGCTGCAAAGTGATCGGCCTGTTGATATCCATAGGTTTATGATACCAGCCGTACGATGTTATTAGGAAGGCTAAAATAAAGGAAAGAGTAGTGATCTCAAGGGTGGTAACAAAAACACCCTGAGCAAAACGAAACATGCAGTTCAGGGTAAACCAGAGGGCTTGCGCTATTGTGAACAACCTACATAGGTAAGAATAATATATGAAAAGGAAGATAAGAAGTCAAGTAACCTTGCACTAACCTAGCTAGTCCACCTGATTTATTCCTATCTTCGATTTCCTCTTCCTTCAGATTTGGATAGTCGAGATATTTATCCTTAACTAGGATATATAGCTGCTTCGCATCCAAAGGGAATGAAGGTAAGTCGTTCTCTAGGGGTTGGATAAAAAAGCCTCCCATATCGGCGAAGAAGGCATGCTTGATAGTCCATTCCGTATATCCAGCCTCATGGAAATTCTGCTCTGTTAGCTTCAGCATCACCTAGAAGTAACTAGGTACTAACTTTAACAGAGCGACGTGCAGATGACCACTGGCCCAGACATAGCATCAGTATGAATTCAGATCCGAGTAGCGTGATACAAGCAAGATCGAATTTGTATCTCCATCTTCTGAATTCGCCGTCGGATTTAGCAGGTAAATTCGGGGCCACGGATGTCCAGCAACAGAGAGTGATTGTCACAACGCAAGTGAATAAAATACTCCACGTTCCTCGCCCGTCGGGTTCGTCGACCCAGCCAGGTGGGGTGGGGATGGTATTGTTCATGCTTAATACAAACCTAATTATCAGTGTCATTAGGGGTCAAAGGGGGCTTTATATAGCCATTGGATCTAAAACTAGCGTACTTTCAAGCTCGTAGTTAATGGGAAGAATCTTAAAATAGCATATTGACACTAGTGTTTGATTACGCGCCCATGAAATTGACAAGCAGGCGGGAGCCTAAGAGATGCCTAGCAGAGCTACCGATTTGTTCATTATGCATGAGGCTACAGGTGCTAGCGTTAGGGTGGTTTGCTCCGCCACGGCCTTCTCTAGTGTCAGCAGCGCGAACACACATAGCCCTCATTTTGTTTCTCTGAATATGAACAGCAAGCTCAAGCTGAACATTGGATCGATATTATTTATCAAGAGATCGGTATGACAGGAATTTGGGGATGGCCGGTTTTGAAAAGAGCTGGTGTATAGTTTAATATTATCTTCGATGGGGTGGCTATGTGCAGGTGCCAAGACACTAATTGTTCAAAAGTACTTTGTATCGACGTGATGCAATCATTCCACACGTTGGTGCCTTGGCAATCGAAATTTGATGGGAAATGGGGACCTTCAACTTACTGACTTCAGGAACCGCGACAACAGAATATTAAAGCACCACCAACAACATATCTACCATCCATACCATAAACCTCCATACAGTCACATTTCTGTTACTTGTGCCTGTGTTGTGTATGTAGCCTTAGGCTGCTAGTTGGCGCCTATTAGACATCAACCCCTCTCTAGATAAATTGTCGGGTAGCGCGCTCTCCGTAGCAATCAACTATCTCGCTCCTTTATTGCTGGCTCCTACATAGTAGATGCTTCAACAAATAATAAATGATGTCGTTGCTATGAAGCGGATTGGGGAGTCGGAGATATATGTAGGAAGAATGTTCAGGAATCGGGGGTGCAGGCTTGGTTTGGGAATTTGGTTGAGTTTGTAGCCTCGAAGGAATCGAGAACGCCGATGCGTAATCTTTTAGACACCACGGCTGGTATGAAGCCTAATATAGCTCTGAACGAGATTCTGCCGTCTGGTCTTGAGGTTTCCGAGGATTCTTGTTAGGTGTCAGAGAGTAATAGTTCTCTGGTTTGCGAATCATTTCACTGCAGACTTTTGAGATGCGGGTTGTTCCCGGTGAATAAATTTGTTGGGAGAAGAGGAATTGGGGAAGGGGGAGGGGGTTCCAAGGCGTGCACAAACTGTTTATGGGGATGTAAGCAGCATTTGCGGGGAACAGGGCGTTTGAGTTTAGCTTTGGCTATGGCGATTACTAGGTTCTGGCCAAAGAGTAAGTGGTAGAAAGACACCGACGAGTTTGGCGGCTCTACTGTAGATCGAGAGTCCCACTTGACAAAGCCAAGCCTACATGGGCAGTAATTGCAGATCGCTCTAGCAATCTCAATATTGTTAGCTAGGCCAGGATGCCATATCGGAATGCCAGAAGATACCAGGCTTCCATATAGCTTCCGGTATAGGTGGCTGGTAGGGCGCCGTTAGTAGGAAATGAGCATGAGATCTGACATTATTCTTCCCTTTCTACACTCGTAACACTTCCCTTTCTGGGCTTACGACAATGATTCAACCATGTTACTCGTCTTGGTATGGACTGATTAGGAGGCAAAAATGCAGAAATGGATTTCGGTGAGGAACCCCATGGGTAAATCATACAAGGTTTTAGGGGTATTCAGGTCCGCCGATCCCATCCCATGGGGATGTTACGGCTTCGGGATTTGGTAAAGTTCGGGTGGCGATGTCTCATGACATCAACACCCGGAGCAGGGAAAGCCGGGGAAGTCTTAATCTCATAAGCCCTCAATCAACCCATCGACTATGACTATCCCTCCAGGCAGCAGATTCAGGCGGGATTCTCGACAGTAGAAGAGTTACTAACATGCTCAAGCACAACTCTTATTTGAGGGGGTTTAATATGAGCAAGTCTAGTTATAAAGTGGGAATTGTCTCCCTACAGGCGACTTTGACCTGAGGGGATTTTAACTTCTTGGCGCTCCCAAGAGACAGGATGAGCGTGGACGAAACTTTCCATGTAGGGATGGATGATGGGGTAGCATTCCATGTGACCAATCCTGGACGAGGTCCGAGCCGCCGCATGTGTCGGGCTAGGCAAGTTTTCTTCTCCTGACATCGGGCTCGGGATTTCATCGGCAAGATTATGTATCGCCTGTATTACGCCTCCATATTATATAATACTGTGCCGCAGTTTGAGGCGTGGAATGTACTCTGAAGTGGTGTACTCACACATGAGAAGGGAGGACCCTGGTTAGATGTAGAAGCTATAATTGAAATACCTGGCCTCAACGCTTCTTAGCCCAAGACACGCAAGACCTGGTTTGAATATTGGTTTATAATGGATTCAGATTCTGTCTCGGTTTCCCCCCGTCGGCTTGATTTCCCCGGGTTCGTGTTCCTATCGGGAAGTCTTCGGGGAAAAAAGTCGGGGCCCCAGCCAATCCCCGGTCTGACGGAGCCGTCCGGGTCGGTAGATGAGGACGAGGAAAACCTCGGCCGTGCCGGATCCGCACGGTTTCTTCCATTCGTTCCTTCCATTTGTCACTCGACCAACGTCTTTGGGGGAAGAAGTGGGGGTACGGGGAAAGTTTCTTGTAAACTCGGGAACTTGTGTCGCTCATTACTCGATCGAGTTAGGCATGTTGGGTCGTAAGTTCTCAGGGATTCCAGTAAAAGGCTTGAGGTCTGTAATATTACAAAATTAGTGTACGTTGGAATTTGGCTTTGGTGCAATGCGAAAGTCATTTGAGGGAAAATATTAACGAACAGTGGGTTGGGAAGGACAGGGGTTCTGGACTTCCTAACGGACCCTACTTCTGCTGTTTAAGAAGCCCTAACTCTGAGCCTTCATGGTCACTATGATTGAAAGTGCTGTCATCTTGATACGCAACATTCCCTGTATATATTACTAGACTGAAACCTACATAACGCCACAATAACACACTTTTGGTAGAACGTGCGACGACAACTTTCAAACAAAGAAAAAAAAGAAAAAAGGAAAAAGTTAATTGGGTAGTCTGGGGAATTGTGGGGTCATGTGGGGGTCTGGGGCATGGAGGTCGGGGAATGGGGGGGAGAACAATATCCCGCAAACAAACTTTTTTTTTGAAAAAATCAGCCCTTATATAGAGGGCACTAGGGTCGTCTCGTCGACCATTCTTTCTATTTCCCCTCCAACCCTAAAGCTTTCCTACGTGACTGCTTTAACCTACACAAAATGAGCGACCATGTCGAAAAGCCCGACGCTATGGGCAAAGAGTTCATCGACGATGAACTCACGCCCGAGGAGCGTCAGCAGGAGATCGAGGCACGCGACCTGCAGAGCCAACAGTATCTCAGCAACGAATCAGCGTATGATCGGTTCGCATACGCCCAGATACCAGTGCACATGAGGAGCCCACGCATGCTAGTTATCACGCTGGGTGTGTTCGCCGCGTTTAGCGGAATGCTGAGTGGATTAGACCAGTCTGTGATCTCAGGCGCTCTTCCCGGTATTCGCAAGCACTTCATCGCGTCTGGCGAGTGGGCGAGCATGGACGACCCGAAAATGGCAACTGACATTTCGCTGATTTCTTCCCTCATGCCGCTCGGCGCAATGGCCGGCGCTCTCATCATGACGCCGCTGAATTTCTACTTCGGACGACGCAACTCGATCATCATCTCTTGTCTATGGTACACACTGGGAGGAGGACTTTGTGCGGGATCCCGTACTGTGCCAATGCTGTTTGCCGGCCGATTCATTCTCGGAATCGGTATCGGAATCGAAGGTGGCTGTGTCGGTATCTATATTTCCGAGTGTGTCCCGCCTGCGGTGCGCGGAAACCTGGTGTCTGTGTACCAGCTGATGATCGCATTCGGAGAGATCATCGGATACGCGGCGGGTGGCGTATTCTTTGACGTCAAGTCAGGCAGCTGGCGCTGGATGCTGGGCTCATCCCTCTTGTTCTCAACCATTCTGCTGGTCGGCATGTGCTTCCTGCCGGAATCACCTCGTTGGCTGGTATCTAAGGGCAAGTACGGCCGCGCGTGGCAGGTGTGGAAGTCTCTGCGCGATATGTCGGACCCGAAAAGTCTGGACGAGTACGTCGCGATGGAAGTCACTGTCAAACATGATGTCGAGCGGTCCGCAGATGAGCTCTGGTACCAGAGGTACCTGGAAGTGTGCAGACAGCCGCGCAACCGACGAGCGCTTGTCTACGCCACCGCGATGATCTTCTTCGGTCAGATGACGGGTATCAATGCGGTCATGTACAACATGTCGAACTTGATGTCCAAGATGAACTTCAACGACCGCGAGTCAGTGCTGATGTCGATGGTTGGTGGTGGCGCGCTGTTCCTCGGAACGATTCCTGCCGTGTTCACCATGGATAGGTTCGGCCGACGTGTGTGGGCACAAAACATCCTGATGTTCATCGTCGGCCTGGCGCTGGTCGGAGTCGGCTACCTATACACAAACAGTGGTATCGATTACTTCAATGCCCACAGGTCAACTGCCTTGGGATTGTTTTTCTCCGGCCTGGTGATCTACATGTCGTTCTTCGGAGCGTATTCGTGCCTGACCTGGGTGGTCCCAGCCGAGAGCTTTGATTTCAACACCCGCAGCCAAGGAATGGCGATTTGCTCTGCATTCCTTTACTTGTGGTCGTTCATCGTGACATACAACTTCGAAGGTATGCAGAAGGCCATGACCTACACCGGCCTGACGATCGGTTTCTTCGGCGGGCTGGCCGCGCTCGGCTTCTTTTACCAGCTGTTCTTCATGCCTGAGACGAAAGACAAGACGCTGGAGGAGATTGACGAGTTGTTTTTGATGCCGACGAGCAAGCTGGTTGCACTGAACACCAGCAATCTGATCAAGCGCTGGCGATGGATTGCGGGCGGGATGCGCAAGCCCGAGCAGATTGACACCCACAATCCGTGAGATTGTTCTTTCCACTGGACCAATATGAATGACGGTTTATTTCTAAAGTTAGCTTCATCAGATACCAGAAATATCTTTGCTTCTATTTAAATTTATATGCACTGTCTGATAATGAAATCCTTCTCATCTTGAGTATTCTTTAGTAGGGTGTGCGGGTCGAGCCAATTCCAAAGTATGGTTATTTAGTACTCAGCGGTTTTTTTTTTTTTTTTTTTTTTTTTACAAAAAAAAAGCAGCCCTCGTAGAATAAAGGCTCAATTGACAAAATGCCGCTATGTACCTTGGATTTATGCCTTAGGGGCAATAATGCAAATTTCCCAAGTAACGGTGGCTGAGCTGCAGTTGTGATTGGCGAAACCGCGGCGGACAGGGTAGGCACATTATATATGAGAGTACACTTATAGCTGAGAATAAAGCGGATCGAGGTTACTTATTAGAAGAATATCATTGAGCCAAAATTAAACGAAGAGAGAATCCAAAGAGCTTTTTGGCCAAAACACCATCGCTGAAATGCTGCAAAGAAAAACGAACAAAAGGATTGCCACCCAAAATATGTACAGAGAAGATACGTAACAAAATATTTGTCACAAATTCCAGAAAGAGAAAGCGAAGGGGTATCTTAAGGGGTTCGCAAGTGCGGTGAGGTGTAGAGGGAAAAAGAAAGAGGCAAAGACAGCAATCAAACTTGCTGACCAACGGTCGTTAATCATGGATTGTGGCAGGGAACCATTGTTTGGAGCCAGAATTGTGGGAGGAATTCGAATTAGCACGTGAGCTAGAGCCAGAGCTAGATTTAGCCCTTGGAAGATCACGAGCAAGTGAATTTTGGTGAATCTCCTCTGGAAGGAAAAGGTCCGGTAGGTGGTCTGGATTCGACGCCAGACTGCGCGGACGTGAAAGTACACCACCAAGAGCAGGATTGTCCTTTTCGCGATGCATGGTGTCGACCGGGTTCCGAGTTCGGCGGCGGTGTCGGCGGAGATACTCGTTCGGAACAGGGTCGACTTGCTTTTTCACGGCGGGTACAAGGTTGAGGTAAATGGGGAAGATGGCACCGGCGCAGAAGAGGGCGACTAGAACACAGAAGGAATATGACGCGCCGTGTGTAAGGTATGCGGCGTACTGGGCAAATGGGAAGATGGAGCCGCCACTGACGGCCATCGTCATAAAGACAGCGGCTGTTTTCGTATGTTGGGCTGTGCCGCGTAGGGAGATAGCGAAGATAATGCTGAATGTGCCGCTCTCGAAGAGGTAGAGCAGCATTGCCATGACAATTGCGGCTGTGCCGCTTGTTTTCATGCAAAGAATCGAGCACACGATCATACCGATATAGGTGACCATCAGAATCCAGCGTGGCTTGAGGAACCACTGCGCAAATGCGGCTAAGAAGCGACCCACGGCGAAAACGCTGTGTCCAATGGTCAGGAAATCGAATGGTCCGAGTGATGAATCTGGACGAGCGGAAATAACGAAACGTTGGAGTGATGTCGCGAAGACTTCTTGTCCGGCCACGTAGAAAAACTGAGACCAGATTCCCAGGCCGAGAGTCAGCCAAACGACTGGAATGCCGATTACTTTGGTCATGTTATCTTCTCGGCGTCGATTTGCTAGTTCTTCCAAATCTTCATCTGACGCTTCGGGGATTGGTAGATAATAGAAAGCCACTGCCAGTAGCACATCGAATAGAGCAATGCCGAGATATGTCCATTGTACGTCAACCAAAGATGCCACATCCTGGACATCCTTGAAGAGAACCCGTTTCGCCAGGAGCGGCGATAAGACACTTCCGACAGCTTGCACACCTTGTGAAATATTGAGTCTGATCTCGGAATTCTCAAGTGGTCCGCATAGCGCAATGAACGGATTTGCCGCGGTCTCGAGAACTGCTAGACCGAACCCGACAATGAAATTTGATAAAATGAACGCAGGTGTCGACGTTAGCACAGCAGAAGGCCAAAATATGAGGGTTCCACAGGCATAGATGCAAAGTCCAGTTATGAACGTGGACTTGAAGCCCCATATTTTCAAAACGGGCCGGCCAACCAGCAGAGGGCCAAACACGTACCCGCCGAAGTACGAGCCATGAAGACCCAACGAATGCCATGGACCCAAATGGACGATAGTTTGGAATTGAGAATTCAGAATATCAAGCAAGCCGTATGCGAAGCCCCAAAGGAAGAATAGTAGCGTGGCTAATGCAATTGGCGCAATCGACTCTCTGTTGTTTAGCTTTAGCATACTTTCCGGATTCTTCATATTGACAAAATCGAAGAATGTGATATCCGGTGCATAAGATGCGCTAGTATTGGTTCCTCCCTCTGTATCGAGAACTGCTGTTTCCGGGTGACCTAGGAAATCCAATATACCCATGGGCTCCGAGTCCCGGGAACTATGTCGGCCAGCAGAGACATCTCCAACTTGATTTTGTAGACCCTTATTTCCTTCGTTGGTCGGTGGCACTGGCGACGGCGATGGAAATTCTGGCGAACCCGGGACTGCAGCCGGAGGTGGCACTGCAACTTGACTTTCCCCTGCCGCGCCTGCAGAGAGTCCAGGAGGCAGAGAGGTTGATGTATTATCATTTGTATCTCTAATCAATTTCGGAACAAGACGAGTGACCAGAGGTTTTAGACTTGGAACACAACCGCAAATTATCGACAGATTGACTTCGACGACAGACCACATGAAAGATAGCGACGCGTACCCTGCGAAATTCCCGCTGTTAGCTCAATTGACACCTTGATTTGAAATATGGGAGATGAGCGAGTCGTACAACTGAAATCTACCCCTCCGATGTTTTGAATATGAACTGACTTCAGTTCCAGCGAGCGGGAGGTGGCAGCTTGTTGAAGAAATGCAATTCGGACCACATCGACCACGGCGGCAAAGACACCAAAGGAGAATGTGATCACCAAAATTATCTTCTGCTTGAAAGGTAGGCGCATTTTTGTCAAAAGCGGTATCGGAAGCAACAGGATAGTGACATCCGTAATGATATTCACCGGGGACGAGGAGAGGTACAGGGTGACAATGTCAGTGCAACTTGCATAGGGCGGAACGTTGGAAAGGAATACTGCGTCGATGGGTCGACATTGGAAAACATTGACCATAGTTAATGCAACGCCCGCTGCGTTCACTACAAACAGAGTGATATAGTTTGCCCATTGGAAAACCTTTTGATTACGCGTCAAGGTCAGGTAGAAGACGAGGATCGAGGTCTTGACGGCCATTAACGCCGGATTCTAAATGGATGTCAGCACGCCATTGTTTTTATTATTGTCCTGCGGAGTAACAAAGGGGAGTAACAAAGGGGAGTAACAACGGGGGGTAACAAAGGGGGGTAACAAAGGGCATTTGTAACTGACATAGAGGACCGTAAACGCATAATTTGCCTTATTAAAAGCGAGCTCATCTTCCGGCTTAATGTCACTCGAATGGAGACCAAGGCCTTTCCGGACAGCAAAGAATAGCGAGAAGGAAAAGCCAAAATCAATTATCTGCAGACTCGTTAGCCTCCGAGCTCTAGCACGAGGTTCCAATCATGTGCCCGGTTCGCCAATAGATCGAGTCCGTTGTCGCTATATCACCGGGTACATGCAGGGATCAAGTCGAGGGATCCTACCCATGCGACCAACATCAACCAGTCGTGTAACCCAATCTTCCTGACCACAAATATTCGGGAAATGAAGCGAAGCGCGACAAAAATAGAGGCGATCGAGAAAAAGGTGATCGAAACACCTAGCGTAGCTTGTTGACGACCCTCCATGACGAAATTGACGGTGGACTGTCCGCTCGGACAGTCCGGAAAGTCCGGTTCTAACCACCCCAGGTGTAGCGCAGAATATTGTAGATGATTGAGGTGTTCAAATTTTAGTGTAAAATCGCGATCGTAGGCGGGCAGAAATGGCGCGTGTGCGGAGGCGTCATCGTCTCGTTTCCCGACGGAGTCCGAATCCGGGGGATGGAAAACCGGGGGGAGAAAGGGGAATCGGAAAAACGTGGATTCAATAATTGGTAGATTTCGAGAAACAGAAAAGGTGAAGAGGTAAAGAGAAAGAGAAGTTGAAAAGATGATCCAAACGAATGTGGGGAGAAAAGAAAATTAGGGACCCTTTACCCCGGTTTTGGCTGGCCAATCACCGGTTGTCGTCTTCATTTACCCTTTTGAGGCTACAGGCCTAAAGTCATTACCGCTACACATTTACTCAAATACTCAAATCCTCAAATCCACACGGAATACGGAGTATACAAATACTATTTCGGTCGGATTGTCCATAATGAAAAGATCTCCGCATATGTCTCACCCAATGAGCATTCTGGCACGACAGACGAAAGCGAGACCCACAGCCCATAACAAGGCACTAGTTTGAGCTTTTCTTGCGATGTGATACTATGCGGATAACGCAGTATTGTGATCTCTCGTTCGCAGGATATTTGTCCGATCACTCTCTCAGGGGCTTTGCCGGTCCGCGCCTATATAGGCAATTCATCGATCACGAGCCCTTCCATCTACCCGAGTCCTAAAGTTTCACGTATCGGAATACAAGTGGGAGTCGCTCTGCTTGAGTGCTGCGAGGCTGCGTTGAGGTATTTAGTATATTTCATAAACTCCCGCATGAGACCGGTTTGGGGATATTTGCGATCGACAACGATCTATTCGCCAATTTTTGAGTGTGATATATCAGGCCAAACGCTGCAGCTCGCCTACTCCGTAGACCCGACGTGAGTTCGGATTTGATTTTCTACCCCAGATCGTTCTCCGTTCTGGACAACCAATCGGTATCCTATTCTCACACGACAGATTGATCAAGCTATCCACGGCAAATCCTGCAGGCACTGAGCTTGGCATACAAAACGATTGGTACGATAGGCCCGCGCATCCAATCATGATCTTTACTGTCACGGGATAGGTTTGGTGCTATGCGCACTGACCGTTCCCCTATATTCTGCCACCACCGTTTCGTTTGAACGTGATGACTCTTCATTTTAAGCTCACAAGTTCCCGGGAATATGCGAACATGCCAAGAGGAAGAGGCCATCAACGGCCTATGCTCATCACCCCCTGAGATCAGCGGCCTCGCAACGTTACAAGGAACTACCTGCTAGCTCCTTGGCTGCGTTTCTTATTTCAGTATGTAGTCGCGAGAACTCCCTCGGTCGATCGGCTGCTAGTAATTCCCGCTGATATGCGTTTTGTTGTAGCTTTTTCTCCACTTGCATATACATCTTACATAATGGATAAATATGCCGACAACCAATATATGTCGAAGGGAATACCGGATACTACTCTACTGCCTATCACATGGTAAAAAGTTGTCCCAAGGTTATGTCAGAACCGAACAAGATCTTCGCTATGGGGGTATGTAGGCGCAAGTCCTTAGTTCAATCCTTCTAAGCGAGGTGTAGTAACCTTCTGTTTGGCAAATGGAAAAATGCAAAGGGCTCTGCTCAGGTGCTTTTGGCCCGTGATATTTAAACTGTCCACTGCCCAGGAGTTCGCACCAACGCTGGGAAGGTACAGAGTGTCCTGACTTCCAGAGCTGCCTTTGTCAAACCAGGCGATTCTTCTAGTCCAAGATGAGACTCAACACGTTGCTCCTGGCGTTTGGGCTTTCGGCGTCTCTCCGGGGAGTACAGGCCGAAACTCAAGTTGAGCAGTCCATCGCTTCTATTTGGGATGACTTGAAGAATGCAGTGGACTGTGGTGCTTGCCAGGTATGCTTAAGCTCGGCACTTCCATTGCTTGTAAGGTCTTGCGCTGACTCTATACAATCCTATAGGTTCTCCTCGGTAGCATCAAAGTTACCGCAGGGCTTGGTCAGAAATTCATGATTGATGTATTCACCGGGCTGTGCAAAATCAGCGGGGTGAGTTCGCGATTCCCATGAGCTTACTGACTCAATTCTATTAACCACAAGTATACAGGTCGAGGACCCAGATGTCTGCACCGGGATCATTGATAAAGAAGGACCTGCTCTGCATGAAGCTTTCAAAGCTCTACATCTCAACTCTGACGCTTCCAAGACACTATGTGCCAGTTTGGTCGGCCTTTGCAAGCACCCGGATGTTCATCCCTACACTCTAACGTTTCCTTCACCCAAGCCAAAGACTGTGAGGCCACCATCTAGCGGCCAGACGCCGCTCCAGGTCGTCCACTTCAGTGATACACATGTGGACCTCCTCTACGAGCCTGGATCCAGCTACGAATGTTCCAAGCCCATCTGTTGCAGATCCTGGTCAGATGAATTTGCACCTGGTAACACAGAACACCCATGTGGACCATTTGGAAACACAAAATGTGACCCGCCACAAATACTTCAGGAGAGCTTGCATGCTGCTATCGCAAACATCAATCCAGAGTTCTCCATTTACACTGGCGATGTGGTGGCCCACGATATCTGGTTGGTTGACAAGGCCGAAGCTCTGAAAGGGCTCAATGCCACGTACACTGCAATGGGAAATGATATCGGCACTGTGTACGCTGCCATAGGAAACCATGACACCGCACCACTCAACCTCTTTCCTCCGGATGCTTCAAGTGAAGCTGATCCCCAATGGGCCTATGAGGCTCTTGCAGAAGACTGGTATGGACTCACGGGTGTTCCTTCCGTCAAGTCTGCAGATCAATTTGCGTCATACTCAGCTGTCCATCCCAACAGCAATCTGCGCATCATCTCTTACAACAGCATCTTCTACTACATTTACAACTTCTACATGTACCAGGAACCGATGGAGAAAGACCCGCGCGGACAATTTAAATGGCTCATCGAGGAACTGCAAGCTGCCGAGGACGCAGGCCAACGCGCATGGCTAATCTCTCACATCCCATCCGGTATACCGGATCACTTCCGCGACCATTCAGAGTACTTCGACCAGATTGTCCAGCGCTACGAAGCCACCATTGCAGCATTGTTCTATGGTCATACGCACCGGGATGGGTTCCAAATCGCATACTCCGACTACAACAATCGAGACTGGAACACAGCTACTGCAATGGGCTACATCGCTCCAGCTGTGACGCCAACGGAGGGCTCACCCTCTTTCCGCGTCTACAAGATCGATCCAGTAACGTTCGGCGTTCTAGATTACACTCAGTACATCGCCGACATCAGCCACCCATCCTTCCAGACAAATCCAGAATGGCTGCCATATTACTCCGCCAAGGCTGATTACGGATCCAAAATCTCGCCTCCACTCACAGATCCCGAAGCCGAGATTAGTCCTGCTTTCTGGCATAATGTCACCGTCGCCATGGAACAAGATCCGACTGTTTTCCAAGATTACTGGGCGAGACGTGTTCGTGGGTTCGAAGTCGAGAGCTGCCATGATGACTGCATGAAAAATGAGATCTGCCTTCTTCGTGCCGCTAATGCGCAGTATAACTGTGACAAACCGAAGGCTTTTGACTTCTCGAAGCGTGATGGGCAGGAGGGTGATATCCTGCTGGAAAAGGAGCCTCATATTGACTGTGATCATGCTGGAATGGCAACACTGGTCTCGAAGATGGCGTATCGGGCTAAACTTGAGCGGAGAAAGGAGCTTGAGACTTGAAAGGCCATGGCTGATCATTTGGTAGTTGGCTTATTCAATTCTGCGAATAATAACTACCAAAGTTGATTTGATAATCTAAACCATCCAAGCCCTTTTATTTATGTCTCTCCTCTTGTCATGGAATCTAATATTGGTACAAGTACAGTCATTACAATTAGGCATCAAGCAGTGAAGGTTGAATCGGGATCTACGGGAAGCAGTCCCTGACGATCCATCATCGCAACAAGATCCCCATCCATCATGAACTCGCCAAGCTCCATTCCAAATGGCAAGAGACTAAATTCGTCCCCTGTAATTCCTGCTCGAGTACCATGGAGATGGGAAAGGGTTGTATTTGAGGCATCGAGGTCCGTTTCTAATAAGCAGTAATGTTAGTAGAGTCCCAGTCACACGACGAAGACGGAAAAGAGACTAACCAGGATCATTCAAGACTTTGCTGAATTGTTCCAAGTAATACCGACATCGATCGATCAATCGGTTTCCTTCATCAAGCCTGGAAAGTGCTGCTACGGCACGACCGGGATACTGTCTAACTTTACTTGCTTGGTCTATCATTGGTGAGTTTGTTAGGCTGGTATCACGATAGACCCAAACTACTCCGATGAGGACTAGCGCTGCGTTAAAAGCTAAGAAACTGTCAGCATCCAAATCTTGAGGGCGAGGAAGTCAGAGCATACTATAGTATAGCGAGAACCACCACGCTCCCAGGAGGGTGCGCTTCCATCCAGGTTCTGATACAACACGGTGTACGATATCAATGATCTCCATCGCGGAATATGCGCATATCTGCAAGCTATTCATCCCAATCTGTTGCAACAATCTAATATCCTGAGGATCGTGCTCAGAAGACCTGCTTGCGGTGATGAATTTGACTAACATCGGGCGGTGGAGTAAAACTCGAAGATTTAGATATCTCAAGGTCAGGATGACTTGAAACTTTAACGAAAGACATTGGGTATTGGATGACATCTGAATTTGAGGCAGATTATCAATGCTATCCAATGAGATAAGTTGTAATGGATGGGTAAGCGACCGTTCCCAGGAGAACAAGTGCTGTTCCAAGCTGAAAATATGGGCCACAATCTCGCTGACTGGTAATGGACCATCGCAGCCGATGTTTTGGCCATAGAGAAGCTCTAGGACGTTCCAGAGCTCCTTATATAGTCCACTTGTGTTCATGTCAGAAGTCTCGGACCTCCATGGGTATTGGGATCAACCACTTACATTGTCGAGTTGAAGAACGCAACACTCAAAGCCGCTGTCTCGCCATCCACAAGGCCCGTTGAATTTTCAAATTCTCGCTTCTTGGGTAGCTCGAGCTTGACGTAGCTATCTGGAATGGCTGCTGGTCTGCCAAAAGTCATGCTCAGAGTTCTGTATTGTCAGCATACGTTTGGCGTGTGGAGATTTAGCCGCTTACCGGTCTAAGACCACGCAACCGTACCAAGTCCGCTTTCGCATCTCCTGCTCGATCGGAGAAAATAATTTGGATGCATGCCGCGAATGCAATCCAAGCTGAAGAGCGGCTTTGACGGCTAATCCATGGACGGTCCATGCTTGTATTGACTTTTGCGTGCCTTGGAGGTACTGGCCCATCAGGAGTAGATATTGTACTGATGAAACACAGTCAGGGCAATCTTCCAAAGGGAAACAAGAGTTGAGAGCTACTCACCCACTTCTAGGGTTGTCCCTCGCAAGATTTCACTCCCACACAAGCCAAGGCCACGCTGATAGAACACATCTGATTCTTCGATCCGAGCATCTGCGCTGGAACTTCCAGGAATCGCAGCAATAGTAGCCATAGCGAGCACCATATTCAACAAACCGAGCCAGGTTCTCCGTACGCGACTGAAGTTCTCTCGTGCCATCTGGTGATATGTGTCCAGGAAGACGGGTGGGTAGATATAGGGGAATAGTAACCCCGTGTTAGAGAAATAGCGTTCGATAAGGTCCAAGGTGTTTGACGGCGGCGGTAAAGCAAAGATGTTCACTTTCATGCGCTTATCTTGACCTATTTGGCGTGGTGGCGATGGTGGTCTCGATGCATTCACAAAGCCACCCTCAGCGGCGCCAGGTGAAGGGAAATACCCCGGTTGGACAATAGCGCTTGATAGATGTCGAAGAAATGCAATATTTGAAGAAGGGCCTAGTAACCTTTAGCAATCTAGACTTTCCTCGTCAAGCAGGTAGGTAAACTTACCAAAGAACCCAGAATCCTCCTCATCCGCAAAAATCACCGCACCCATACCATCGACTGAATCCTCGGTCCCAATCAAATCCGGCATCGGTGCAGCAATTCTTGCCTCGCCCTGACTCTCTTCAGTATTTCGACCAGAAATAGCAGACTCTCTTTCTCTGTCCCTTTCTGGCCCACAATCAACCCTTTTCGCCAACCCATTCAAATCACCTTTCATACCTCCAAACGACTCTTCGAGCCTCTTTACCCTATCTTCAAGCCTGTGCAGATAGTCTTTCTGTACAATGATATTAGCAGCCGTTGGTGGCGGCGTGTAAACACATTCAAACCCCAGATCCTGACATAACGAGCAGCTGGGCCGCTTGCCGTCACATCGGGATTTGCGGGTTCGACATGCATCACAGGCGACGGCTACACGGCGCCTTTTGAAGGGCCGCCCGTTGGGTGTTTCGTTATCAGGTGAATTAGATGCCATTTGATAGTATCATCCAATTGTCATCTGATCAGGGGCTGGCGGGGGCTGACTGTTTCTGGGGTTGTGTCGGGCGGGGGTAGATCGGATGGCTACCCGGTGTTGCCGTGATGTGGATAAGTGGATAACATCCAGTGCTGGGGGACAGCGGCAGTGGGTTTAGTCAATCTCTGATTTTGCTGATATATTTTTTTTATTTAATTGGATTTGTTTCTTCTCTTGGCCATAGCTTGCGATATATGAACCTTGATGTGTCTAGACTTGTTGCTGATTTGGGATTTTCAGCGGAGACTATTTTCCCATTAGTGGCAAGAGTGATGGACATATAACAATCTACTTATATAGGATTAGCCCACCCCGGACCTGTATAATTTATCCCCTATATATTAATAGCGACGAAGAAACCAAGAGTCTTTCTACTAAACACTAGTACTTGACTTTATTATATTTTTTATCTAAATTAGCGCGGATCACCTCAGGACGGTCGATTTCTTAAGTAGGGTAGTAGTACGGAACCATATCATCTACTATGTATTAGCCTTACCTATCCTTTCTTTATTATATGGTTTGACAATAGCTAAGATATAGAGATATAAGTAGTAGATAGATATAGATTGGATAATACACACTTATATAACTATTTAAATTAACTCCTTGGGCAGTACGCCTAGGTACCTTTGTGTATAAGGTTAGGTATAAAGCTGAACTACGAGTGCTGAATCGACCCGTATACAACCTTTAGCGTTCCCCTCTAACATATACGACCCTTGGAAATACATAAGCCCAAAAACACCATAGACAAAACAATCAGCTATCTTCATCAGGGGAAATCACTATCTCTGGCGTAGACTGTGGCCTTGGCGATGAAGTTGTGGGGCTGACATCGGACATAGATGGTGCTCTACTTCGTGAGATCGGCCTTATATCTAACGGGTTCAATTGTCGTTGCCACCCCGCAGACGCGGCCACAGGAGGACACTGCAAGGTTGATGTCCCAAACATGCCCCCACTCGGGAGTGAATTTGAATGAGCTTGACGGGATTTTGGCCGCGGGATAGCTGGGGTAGGCACTGAACGGCGTGTCGGACTCCGGGGCCTCCTTGAGCTTCCTTCACCATTGTCAACGGAGCCCCTGCTACTTATGAAGCTTGCAGCTCTTGATCGGTTGTCGGGTGTAGATGACCTTTTATATTCGTCTATCTGCTTTTGGAGAACTGAGTTTTTGTATCTTTCTCCTGGGGTCTCCGGGTAATTTGTTTTCGCTTCGGGTTTAAACCCCGTTTTCTCGATTTGGTTGTGGGCTTTGGTTGTCATAATGGCACTGGCTGCATTAAGGAAGTGGGCAAACTTTCGTCTTCCTAAATCGGGCTGGGTGCCAACGGTTTGATTGGTAGTATGGCGGCGTATGTTTGTCATTTCGATATCGGGATCCTGTCTCTCGGCACTTGTTCTAGACTCTCGTCGAGAGCTACTTCCTGTATCGGAAACAGCACAGTCACAATTTGGGCATTTCCCCACGATAGTCTCTTCTTGCTGTCCATCTTCCTTTCCCGCGGCTTCCATATCTGCGGAGAGAAGGAGATATAGTGATCCTATTACAGCGAGGACCGTGCCAACGATTGGCGCCCATTGACCTAAGGATTTATCTGTTAGTAAATTCATAGAGTTGATGTTTTTAATTGTCAAACTCAGGCAAGGAACAGCATTCACTTACCAATACTTTGTATAGGCTCTGTTTGGTGCTGCATTTGCGTACTCCAGAAGTTCATCTCGCCTTTGACGAGAATTGCCAGCACTGCTGCAGCAAACACCGGTATCTCGATGAGAGCCAGCCATTTACTTATCTTGTTGGTAATCCCATTCATGTGGGTGATGGTAGCCCCGTTGGTTCCCAGAATGGGTTCATCTGGCTTGTGCTTAGGTGCTCCATTTGAGAACTTCTCCCAGTTATCATCCAAAATTTTGATCCACATGGATACTAATGACAGGATGGCAGGAATGCAGCACGCAGCCGCAATGAGCGTAGTAGCATTGAATGACAGCTGACTAGGCACTGGAATCACATAGATATTGTTGGCTGCCTTCAATCGCAACGGTGAGACCGGACCATTCTCTGGGGTACAGGCAATGCTACAGTTGGAACCATATTGAAACACACCACCTTTTTTGCCCCCAGTTGAGGCCCAGTGAATGCTTGCCGGGTCATCACCTGGGCAAATACTGGATTTGAGGCGCATGAATTCCACAATCAAGCTTATTAGTCCAACTAGGAGAAGGACGGTCCAGAGAAAGATGATATCACGACCGGGGTTGTTGAAGTAGGTCCGAGACAGCCTGACGGTCGCTGGGGCGGTTAAGATGCCGATTGCGCACAGCTGGAACGCCCCATAGACATCCATATCCACCGCGCCTATAGAAGATTAGATTCATTGGTTGTTTCTATGGGTTTGACCGGGCGGGAAGCATCAACCGTGGCGATAGGGCCATTAGACTCACCGTCGACATGAAGTGCAGCAAGCACAATTCCGTGAAGAGCCGCAATAGCGGGGAACAGTAACACAGCGGCCAGACAAGCGTTCCGAATCCATTCTACTTTGCGAGCGACCACACAGGCTGCAATCAAGACATAGTATCTGAAGAGTGTGTTAGTACACCATGGTAGCACTGCCAATCTCTTTGAAGGGAAACCCACAGGACTCGGGTCCCTGGGCCATATTGACCGGAAACCGGCCAGGCGCAGACAACCTCGAGATGCGAGGAACTTCCGGTCGCGGTCACGTTAGGGGGCGATGCAGGAGCGCGATGCACGAGTGCATGCTCTAGGAAGGAGGCAATTAATGGAATTGCGGGCATTGCATGTTATCCGCCTCCGGTGACGGTAACTTTATGATGAAGCAACAAAAAAGGCATATATTAAGGTGTCATTCTCTAATCCTGACAGTGACTTAATGAGGCTCGACGTGATCTCATAAGTAATGGAGAGAAAAAGAAAGCAAGGAGCCTTCGAGCCGTCTTAACCACGAAGTGTTACTCTGCAGATTGACCATGATCAACAAAGCGAATCGGGGACCGCACCCGGGGTGAGAGATATTTCGTCAGCAACAGCCTCATCTCGGATTTTGGAGCCTCGGTCTAGCTGGGATTGGGTAACCTCAGAAAGAACCTTTATCGCTAAGCTCTAACGCTCGGAACGACAAGTGCTCCCGTGATATTGATTTGGGCGGGCGCAGCAACCCGGGCGTGAATACGAGATGGGGCGATCCCAGTTCCCGCTGATTGGCAATTTGGACTCTGTTGTACATATTGCGCAGTGGCTGTGTCTGTCGGGCGATTTATCAGTGTTCCAAGGAGGAATGAGAGCTATGATGTAGGAGAAGTAGGAGAAGTAGGAAATAACGAAACAACTCAAAAGTCACGAGGGAAAGAAAGACTGGGACTGATATTGTCCCGAACCATGGGTCAGCCAAGAGTAAAAAGGCAACATTAAAGTGACGGTCAACTTCCTAAAGTTGACAGTGCGGGGTTTCCCAGGTCTCGCCAATTTCCAATAGTCTCGACTCTTCTTATTGGCATTTCTTGTCAACGGCAAATACAAGCTAATCAGAAATGTCCACCCTATCCCGTGCATGTCTTACTCTTTTTTGATTGCCCTTCCTATTGAGGCTCAGACCACCAGACCTCTCTGAGCGAAAATTTCTCCTGCTATCGCAACGCTTGATTAGCGTCGAAGAAAGGCGATTTACTTCGCCTGGAATCTAGTGCAACTTTAATAAAGCCCATCCTTGATCCACAAATCCACTTCTAACACGGAGATATTCCACAGCCTCCCATACCTTGACAGGGCCTTCATTAGCAGCTGGGCGCCCACTTTTGTGCCCGGCCTAGGTCACAATCATTTGAACCTGGTCGATGTGATTATGAGGGGTACTTCACTCGATTTCCGCCACATTTTTGACAATTTCTTGATTTCCCCGGCATTCCAAGCACCGAAGATAGAGGACAACCCGCGACAAAATTTCTCCGGATTTTCGATTGACAGGAAAACCGCCATATTTGTCGCGGATTCTTTGCATGAGAGAAATGTGTCCGCAATAAATACAAGAGTTGAATATTGACATGCAAATTTCTCTTATTTCACATTCCGGTATTTTGTCACCATGCCTGACTGCGGCTGAGGCACAATAAGAGAGGCTGACTTGGTGCATGACAACCACAGCAATTACCTAGTTCATATTCTTGAAGTGTACCCCGGAGAGAGAAGAAAATATCCAAAATGGACGACGAACTCGATACATCGAAAATCAAAAGTTGGCGATCAATCATCACCCTAATAATCTTTGTTATTACTAGTAAGTGCGGTTAGGCCTACAATGTAAGATTGAGACTAACTTTTGCTTCTTTGTGTGCAGATATTATTGTCCTTTTCCCATTTCATATCCCACTATACCTGCCTCGATGGCTCACAAATGGAGTTCTGGATGTATTGAGTGCCATGCGCATAATACCTCATCGGACTCGCTCTCGATCCAATGACAAGCAACCGATGTTCGTGAAATTTCGCTTTCCGTTGAACTTTATCACGGCACCGTTAATAGCGGATCTCTTCCTTCTCGCTATCTTGGCTATTGGCCGAAAAGAGGTACATGATGGAATAGTTGGCGCAGACAACATTAATCCCATTGATATCATGGTCTTCTTCCTTACACTCGCCTACATTGCCATCTCGATTGACGCCTCTGGCCTCATCAGATATCTGGCCTTTAAGGTTCTCCAAAAGGCAGGCAAGGTCGGCCACCGTCTATTCTTTTATCTGTTTGTCTTCTTTTTCGGGCTAGGCAGCTTCATCGGAAACGACCCAATCATTCTGTCCGGTACAGCGTTCCTCGCGTACATGACCCGCGTGTCAAGCAATATCGTCCACCCGAGAGCCTGGATCCACAGCCAGTTTGCCATAGCCAACATTGCCTCCGCAATTCTTGTCTCCTCCAACCCCACCAACCTGGTCCTTGCTGGCGCCTTCAAGATCAAGTTCATTGTCTACACGGCCAACATGATTGTCCCTGTAGTTGTGACAGCAATCGTTCTATTCCCGTTCCTGCTATATATCATTTTCGCCGATGAATCCCTTATTCCTTTCTCTATCACAATGCATGAGCTGTCTGAGGATCAAAAGAAAAAAGCACCCGTGAACCCCAACATTCCTCATGCCAGAGGAACCGCCGAAGAGACAGAGGAAACCGATGATAAGGAAGGAAAGCAACTCTCACTGGAAGAGATTATGAACCCATTCTTAGACAAAAAGGGCGCATCTTTTGGGGGGCTCATTATGGCCGCCACGCTCATAACCCTCCTGGCAATCAATGCATCAGGCAAAGAGAATCCCGTTTTCTGGGTTACATTGCCCGCTGCTTTTGTGATGTTCTGCTGGGATCTCGCATTTGGTTGGATCCATCGCCATGACACCCGTGAGATTGCCGCGAAGGGTCGACAGGAGTTTGAAGACGCACAGGCAGAGCGAGAAATGCGCAAACGAGAGGAGCATCAAGCATTACCAGAAAATATGGACCCAGAGACGTTAAGGTCGGAGCAGTCCGAGCAATATGATGCTACAGGCCTGCGCCACTGCAGTGAGCACGCAGATGACGATATCGCCTCAAAGAAGCCTTACCTAGAAAGCGGAACTCAATTTTCACTCTCTGTTGTTGACAAGGAGAAGTTTCCAGAACTACAACTACCAGGCGGTGAGGCGATAGACAGCAAACAACCAGCTCGTGCAAGTTCTCCCGAGGCACTGGACTCGAGACAAACCACCGACACCACGATAGATGAGGAGAAGCGGGGATATCCGTATCATCAGGACAACGGCCCATGCACCTTGGCGTCGCTCGCTGGTGATATCTATCGTTGGTCGCAGGAGACATTCCCCACTGTGACGGTCGTAGTATCCCACATGCCTTTTGCACTGGTACCCTTCGCTTTTACGATGTTCATTCTAGTGCAGGCACTTGTCACCAAGGGCTGGGTGCCGGTTTTCGCGTATGGATGGGACCACTGGGTAGAAAAGACCGGGACAGTAGGCAGTATCGGTGGGATGGGATTCTTATCTGTGATTCTGTGCAATGTGAGTATTGACCAATCCGCTGACCATTTTTCCACTCTCGCTCCGAGACCGCTAACTCGTCACTCTTCTGATCAGTTTGCTGGCACAAACATCGGCACTACGATTCTTCTCTCGCGCGTTATCCAAGCATGGCAAAAGATCCATGAAGTCAGCGGAATCCCCATCAGCGATCGCACATGGTGGGCGACTATCTACAGCATGGCACTCGGGGTCAATTATGGCGCATTTAGCACTGCGTTTAGTGCTTCGCTGGCTGGGCTGCTGTGGCGGGATATCTTGGCGAGAAAGCACATCCGTGTCGGAAGTCTGGAATTTGCCCGTGTGAACCTTCCAATCATTGCTATCTCTATGGTGGTTGGATGTGCAGTTCTTGCTGGAGAAGTGTATATTGTCAGAAGTGCCAACCCCCACGTGCCGGCTTGATGTGTGGATTGCGGGAGGCTGTTTAGATGTTTTATAGATGGTGATGCTCTCAATGTTTGTTTGGTGTGGCTTTTTGTCACCCGACAGGCAGACGATCTTACGAAGTCAATGAACCCAGAAGTATCTCTAACGCAAGTTGTTCTCATTGTGAAATTTCCACTTATTCAGGTTGAGTTGTGTTACATTCCATCACTTGATCGACCCTCCCACGATACTGTGGCACTACACGTCTAATCACGCTATACTAATAGCTTCACTCATCCACAAGGGATTCAATGTCCATGTCCTCCGAGCGATAGAAGCCCAATGCGTCAATCATGGGTTTATCATCAAACCGATACAGATAAACCTGTTCTTCAGCACCCGCAAAGTGCTGGTATCTGTACCACGCCGGAACACAGAAGGTATCACCCTGCTCCCAGGTATATTCCTTATTACCGATAGTCGAGCGCCCTTTGCCAGTGATGACATGATAGACAGCAGACGTAGTCTCGCGCCGGGAAGGTGAGGCCTTGAATGCCGAAATTCTCTCAGCACATCCTCCAAGGACGCGACTCACTATGAGAACCATTAGCCATATTTCCATTCACCGAGCCAAGTGGCAAAAAGGCCAAACACATACCTTCCCGCCCACCCTCCTTCAAGTATCTCTTAGTAACCCAGTCCCCAACAACCCCATCTAACTGGGCCTTCATAGTACTCCACGGAAAAACCAACGGCGAAGTAGTACTATCCACATTCTCCGCAGGATAACGAGGCTTATCGAAGTGCTCTACAAAGTGCACAGGGAAGTGTCTGAAGTTGGGCAAATCCAACCCATCCAGCCACACCATAGGTCCAGAACCATCTTTGCCGTGGTCATGGTAGTTCCAGGTCGGGGTGAGAATAACGTCTCCGCGCTGCATCGTGATGCGCCGGCCGTGGACAGCAGTAAAACCGCCCTGGCCTTCAATAATAAAGCGCATGGCAAAGGCCGTGTGTCGATGAGCGCGTGCAGTCTCGTTAGGCATCACTAGCTGCAGACCAGCGTAGAGGGTGTCGGTAGTAAAGGGGGCATCTTTGATAGGATGTCAGAAGCTGTTATACGCAGTGTATAGTTCATAGCAAGGTATAACTCAATGCAAAATCTAAGGGTAGCTTTGTACATACCTCGAGCTGGGTTGGTGAGCATCAGCACCCGGCGCTCAGCCTGGTCTGCCGGGACGAGCTTTCCAGCGCGCTCCAAGTTAAGTCTGATGGCGCTGTACTTCCAAACATTTGGGATTGTTGTTGGGTTTGGTGCTGGTGGGTTTAGACGCGCCATCTGCTTCCACAGAGGGAGGGTCTTGCTCGCTTCGAGGTCAGCGAGAAGCTGCTCCTCTGTGTCAATAACACTTTCTACTTGAGTTGAAGACATTGTTGGAGTTTCGATGGTAATGAGATCTTTGGACTATATTATCTGCATTATATGGAGAATTGATCCGTAAGATATATCTTGAACACTTTCATAGGATCGTCGGCTCTTGCTAAAGTCCGGGGCAAGATCGGGAAGTCTTCCCCGGTGCGTTCCCAGCCGAGGGGTCATAAAGGCGGTAATCCGACGATATGCGTTGTTGATAAGCTCCAATTATTTCCCTTGAAACAAAGCAAGTGACAGTAAGCAAGATGGTGTCCAATGGTCGGGCCAATGGCCATGTTTCTCAGGCGTCCTTGAAGGTGAATTTCTCATCCCGAAATGGCAATGTGAGATTATCAGACGTTAACGACCCAATAGACCCCAACATACCCCAGCAACTGCCTCGAATTTTTAAATGATCCCTTGTCAGGTGAAAAAACCATCCCTGCAAAGGTCCGCCTAAACATTATCGTCGTTGGCGCCGGACTCGGCGGACTAGCAACAGCTATCGCGCTCGCAATTTCCGGCCACACCGTGACTGTCTACGAACAAGCACAGAAGCTTGGAGAAGTACTACCTCTTCTCCGTTGATGCTAGCCATAGCTAATCACCTACCTCAGGTCGGGGCTGGTATCCAAATCCCATCCAACTCAACTCGACTTCTGAGCAGACTCGGCCTAGACCCATACTTGAAAGAGTATGTGATCGAGCCTGAGTCTATTTCTTTCCGACGCTGGCAATCAGGAAATGTCATTGGGCTCACACAGCTTATCCCGAACTTCCGAGAACAGTTCGGCGCGCCGTACTATGTGATTCACCGTGCGAACTTCCATTCTGCGCTGCATAAACGCGCCCTGGACCTAGGTGTCACAGTCAAGGTTGCCTCACGGGTTGTGGGATATAATATCGAGGAACCAAGCATTGTTCTTGAGAATGATGAAACTGTATCATCTGATTTGGTCGTTGCTGCAGACGGTATATATCGCCATACTCTTGAGATATATATGGACCGACTCTAATGGTCTGTAGGGGTCAAGTCGGTTGCTCGTGGAACTCTCGATCAGAGCGGTAAGTCCGCATTCGAGAAGACTGGATTCGCGGCCTACCGAGCTACTGTGGATGTGGAGCGCATCAAGGGAGACCCGGAGCTTTCTTGGCTGTTGGAAAGGCCAGCTCTTAATATCTGGTTAGCAGAATTATGGAAGGGTCTTCGAAACACAACTGACCCTTTTTGCTAGGATTGGTGACCAGCGGCATGTAATGACATACACCATCGGAGCCGGCAAGTCTTTCAACATGGTTCTCTCTCACCCAGATGACAGTGATCCTGCAACCTGGGATCAGCAAAATACTCTCAGTGATATGAGACGCGAGTTCCAAGGATGGGACAGCCGGTACGAGTCTATGGGTTTTGTTGGTATTGTCTTCCTATTAATGAATTTCCAGGCTTGAGAGGATTATCGGACTCATTGAAAAAACCATCAAATGGCCACTGATCAGTGGAGTCCCCTTATCTCGCTGGGTGAATGGCAAAGTATTGATCCTTGGAGATGCAGCACATGCAATGTTACCTTACATGTCACAGGGTAAGTGTAAAAGCATACTTAACCTTGATAGTGGTCACTAAAACTGCACAGGTGCAGCAATGGCCGTCGAAGACGGCGCAGCCCTAGCACGATCTCTGTCCAAAATGGAGACCGTCGCAGACATCTCCAAAGCATTGAGCATTTTCGAAAAGGTCCGCATCGAGCGAGCTGGAATGATGCAAGAGGCAAGTCTTTTGAATGGAAAGCTGTGGCATTTCGCCGATGGCCCGCTCCAGGAAGCCCGTGATGCAGCTATGAAGCCCGAGACTTTGGGTCTGCCTTTCAGTCACAGCCCTAACCAGTGGAGTGATCCGGCGACTCAGATGTGGTGTTATGGATATGATGCTGAGCAAGAGATTGATCGGGCTTGGACGAAGTCGGAATTGTAGAAAAGCTGTTTGCATAGAGAATAATGATTTCCCTTCGTTTCTGTTCATCAATATCAGTCCAGTTGCTGTAGGCATCCGATCCCCAAAAGAACACTATATAGTTCGCACATTAGCCCGAAAGATCATTATAGCCATGATATTTCGTCATGCTAATCATACCCCAGATTCCCTGCATCCTCTGGTTTCTCATCCGTTTAGCTACTAAACCCCCATTGCGGAACTACACCCGACAATCCCGGTGTACCCGATCTATCCCCGGCATAACGACAATGAAGAGCCATATAACCCCCCAACCACCGGAATGGATGGCCCTGTTAGTCAATTTCAATTACAACGAACCAAATACCAAGACAAGAAAAACCCGAAAACATGTCTCTCCCGTGGAAACGCCTAATCCGCTTCATCGCCACAGACGGCCGCACCCTACGCGGCGAGCCAATCCTCCCAACCCCAACAACAGACCTGGGCTTTATAACCGAGTCCGACAAATTACAAGCACGTGTAATCGAAGGTGACGACCTATACGACACCACCGGCAAAACCCGCGTCACCGATGAAATCGTCTCCGTGAAGACCGTCCTCGGCCCATTGGCGCAGACAGATGTTCCTATTCTGCGTTGTGTCGGGTTGAACTATGCGAAACATAGTGAGTTTCCCAATCCTCTCTAGGAAATAGAGCAAATACCTCAAGCACAGTTACTTATACACATATCTACCATGTCTACAGTCAAAGAAGCCGGCCGCACCCCACCCCCATTCCCATTCATCTTCTTCAAGCCAAATACCACGATCCACGATCACGGCGCACCAGTAGCAATCCCACAGATCGCCCAGGATTCGCAGGCAGATTATGAAGGCGAGCTGGTAAGACAAGGCCCCTGTTTACGAATACCCTGCCCTAGGTCCACTGATCTCAGTATGTATACTAACAAACACCCATAGTGCCTTGTAATCGGCCGCGACGCCAAGAACATCTCCCCAGAGAACGCGCTTTCCTACGTAGCCGCCTACACAGTCGGCAACGATGTCTCAGCACGCAAACTGCAGCGCGATCCGGCTCTCGCGGGCCGTGTCCCGCAATGGGGATTCTCTAAGGGATTTGATACGTTTGCGCCGCTAGGACCGTGTCTTGTTGCTGCGAGCGAGATCGCTGATCCTAGTAAGCTGTTGCTGAAGACGATTGTTGATGGGGAGGTTAGACAGGAGGAGTATGTTGCGGATCTTTTGTTTGATTGTGCGTATTTAGTGTCATATCTTTCGCAGGGGACGACGTTGCAGAAGGGGAGTGTTATTATGACGGGGACGCCTGGTGGTGAGTTTTATCTGTGTTGTTTTTGTTTGTTTGGGAGGGGATTGGTTGAGCTGACTCGTTTTCTTAGGTGTGGGCGCTGGTCTTTCGCCGCCTAAGTACCTTGTTCCTGGGACGCAAATGGATGTTGTCATTGATGGTATTGGGACGCTGAGGAACGGCGTGGTGTTCGATTAAGATGGATTATATGATTGTTGGTTGACGGGGCTTGGGGCTACATTATAGACGGGCAAGACGGAGATCGCCAGAGCACTTCTCAGCAGATCCAAATTTAAGACAATATCGCAAGAGAACAACTTGACTTGGCTGGAAAGAGAGGCCCGCAATTGATCATCCCAAGCTGTGTTATAGAAGCGAGGCGCAGTTGTCTCAGCGTGGACCAATATAGTCTCTAGCCTTCCGTTCCTGTAGTTCATTTTCCGTTTTGGGTCGACCTCAAAGAGTCTAAAAATTGGAAAGGGGCCACACTACTCCGTACTCGTACAAACGAACAGTTCTCGAAAATAAAACCGGGATACTACGAATACTGAAGACTATCTGAATAAACAAACACGAGTCAAACGAAACGAATCTCATTCAATGATCCGTCTCCTGCAATATGCCCTTCGTCTTTTTGGAGACTGTTTGCATATCACGAGCATGATCTTCGTAATCATAATTGTCCTGTCGCATGTGCGTGTTCGAGATCTCGTCAAGAGAACCGCCCATGACTTGCCAGCATGCGCGCAAGGATCGTAAGCATATGTCTTATGGCCGAATGGGATCCATCATCAGGTAGTATTGCGAAAAAAGACTCCGAAGAGAAGAAAATTCTATGAACATGAAAAAATGGGCAAAATGTGAATGCGGTCCGCTAGGGACACGCGAAATGGTAAAAAGATCCAATATCAAGGGAGTGGACGAAAGGTAAAAGAAAAAGACCCGGTCTCTCTGAGAGATGAATGATTGGGTTCTCGGAGAGACTAGGAAAGAAGGGGGGAAAGTCACAATAAAGTGAAAAGAGCGGGGGGAAAAAGGGGGGAAGAGTCGTCAAGACCATATCCGTTTGCGCAATCTACCAGAGATGTGTCCGTTGCTCATGTTCATAATCATGGCCATCAAAACTAACGCGCGGTCGACGCAACGTTTAGTGGATGTACCACTTGGCACCAGAGACACGGCCCTTGTCCATGGGGGCCAGCTGACCGAAGAGGTGACGAGACAGATCGACGGAGCTGTTATCGCAACCCATGCACTTGTCCACCACAATACCAGTGGCGGTCTGGCCATTGTATGTGATGGTGACGGTCTTGCCGCAGTCACCATCGGCCATGATACCGTGGGGCAGGGCGAGAACGTTCTCTACGGTACCATCGTTGGTGGTGCCGCAGGAGCTGGGGTTGGTGCTGGTGGTGGCAGTGTCGTAGAAGGTAATCTCACCGTCGCAAGGGGAGCCCTCGGAGCAGACGCCGGTGCGGCCGCTGCTAGTGGTCTCAGTGTTGGCGGAACGCGTGGCAGTAGGGGCAGCGGTAGAAGAGGTCTCAGCCTGTACGACGGGAGCGGGAGTGGTAGAGGTCTCGGCTTCCACGGTGGGAGCAGGAGGAGCAGGAGGAGCAGGAGGAGCAGTGGTGGAGGTGGTGGTGGGCGCAGCCTGCTCCACCTGCTTGGCAGGAGCCTCAACAGTAGGGGCAGGGGCAGCGGTAGTGGTGGAAGAGGAGGTAGTGGTGGGCGCAGCCTTCTCTACCTCCTTGGTAGAGGCCTCAACAACGGGGGCAGCGGTGGTGGTAGGGACGGCGTTGGCGACGACAGGGACAACAGTAGTAGGGTGAGCGGCCTGAGCGTAGACGGTGGTGGTGACATCGACGGTGGTCCAGACGATATCCGTGACGGTCTCCCAAACGACGGCACGTTTGGCGACGGGAGCCGAGTAGCCAGTCAAGGCGAAGAAAGCGCCAGCAAGGGCGAGAGTCTTGGTGATAGGAGCCATTGCGAATGAATCTGAATAGATGACTAGAGAGAGAGTGTGTGTGTGAGGTTGCTTAAAGGATTGATCAACTGCACAGCAGGAAGGTTGGGCACTCGAAAGGAATGTGAGTGAGGAAGGAAGGAATGGACTGAAAGAGAACAAAGATAATTCGGGGGGAAGGATCTCGACTTTATAAAATACCAAAGGTAAGGCACCAAAGAGGAAAATGGCCCACTTCAATTGTTTACCAAGTTCCCCACTTTATCCAAACCCATGGTCCAAATCAAGCCACGACCCATTGGACAACTCACTGCCGTTCATTCTTTACACTAGGTATGTTGTACACACATACTGGATATTCTACATAGATCCTACCCTACAAAGGACGCATTACGGGAATATCACAATCGTAACTCCTAGATACCCGAGCCGGACGCCCCGGTAGATTCTCATTGGAACAAAAAAATCACCAGGGGCTTGTGCGCCACACAGGCCATATTTCTCCTGGCCCTAATCTCCTCTGGGGATAGACCGACGGCTGCTTCAGCCGATCCAACTCCTACTGCCTAGCTGGGGTCTCACGACCCACATATTTTACTTCTCGTACCTGACCAGTCGACCTATCAGAGACAGCGAGTATTTCTTTCTTTTCCAAGGTTCTTCCTTCGGGGATACCATATCCGCTATTTTTCATATCATTTATTAAGATCTCATCACATCTTCACTCTTTAGTCACCTTGCAAATGACGTGTTGTAGTGTACACGGTCGCAATGCACCCCAGGGGAGGACGGGCCAGAATACTGCAGTCTGCCTCTTCGCAGTCTGACGTGTGTGTATCGGGCCCCGAGGGTATGATTACCGGTATGATTGGACAATGCGTAAGACAAAGATGACCGTTTAAGCCAATCCAGCTGGGATCATGTTTTACTTGTATACTATTATTGTACTCCGTACATGTATTTTAGTCCTCTCCACTGCCAACGGTCTGGACTTGGTCTAAGTTTTCAAGCCGTTTTTTTAGTTTTTTTTTAGTCTTTTAGTGGGAGAATAGTGCCGATCCTAGTTTTCTATTGTGTGAACATCCGGAGTACTCCGTACTGTGTGAATGGCTCTACCTATTGAGGGTTTGAATCTAGACTCTTCATTTTCAAGATCTTACTTGTCTCACTGCACTCCGTATCCAGTATTCTGTACTAAATATTCAACCCCTCTTCCCAGCCCTAACCAGCCCAAACACCAAATGCAGGGCACAGGGCACGCACCCTGAACAATCTTGAAATGTCCGAGACCTACGTAATCGATACCGAGAACCCGATCAGGGTGCTGACTATGTTCGCACAAATAATTAAAATGCACCTATAGCTCTCTAACTACACATCCCATCCCCGGGCATTTTGGTATTTCAGACCCAATCATCTCCTTCCCGAGAGAGGGGAGTCAGACCATGTCGCACCAATAACACCAGATACATGGTACGAGCTCGGGTATTTGGTTGGCGCCCATACACAGTACTGTATTCCACTTGGTCCAGTCCCCTCTGCTCCATTTGACCGAAGATCCCCCCGGAATAGAATTGGATGACCATGGTTGGATGGCGTACATACATAGTGTATTACAATGAAATTGCAGATTTGAAGAATTTGAAGAATTTGAAGGGAGTGGGGGTTGAGACTGGGATTGTACTCCGTAATCTTTGGCGACGGCGAATTTCGCGAGCCCGTTTAGTGTGTCCGCGGGGTGGCGATAATCCCTACCAACACAATAATTATATGGAAATAGTCAACAAACGTCACGAACCAATGAAGTTTCGTCAGGGAGATTAGTAGGACTTTCTACTCGCAACCTCACGTTACGAACGCTTTCGAAAATATTTTTGTTTTTGTTTCTCGTGTTTCGCAATGGCTTCTCGGGGTTGATTCATTGCCTCTTTCGGACCCATTGGTTATACTATGAGGGCCAACTCGTCTATTTGACCAACTAGTGTAGTATAACAAGGCCTAGAAGATCCTCGGTGTGAAATACTAGTTACCAGGCGAGTAGGACAATAGCAAAGGGGAGAATGTATTGTGTTCCTTATTCCGAGACTAATTCATGATTCAAAGACCTTTTCTTGGCACATGCAGGAACTAAGATGATCACATGCATAAACCTTCATAAACAAAAAAGGATCCTGAGGCACCAAGGATCCCGAGGGCCTGGGTGCCTCGTGCTTTTGCAACTTATTGAAGTTATTCCCCTCTCGTCATCAAAGTAATATGCTGCCCAGGTGCTAATTTTCATTTGCCAATTCTATACCCTCTGGGAAGCTTAATTTCCTCGTCCGAAGTGACCGTAGGAATGGCAGGCCCCGGTATATTCCTGGTAGCCCTTTTCACGCCTTAACATCACGCATTTGTTCCTGCTCTGGACGGTGATAAATTCGCCGACTCGCATCCGCAGAGCATGGAGGCTATTTGTAGGATTATGTTTCTTGGTAGGCCTTTTCTGAGGCGTTTTTCCCTGCTTCTTGGGAGTATGCTGTAGAAAGTTCGCAATCTGGTCAAGGTGCGAACCACTTTCGGGTATTTTTCTAGAAGAAATTTAATCCAATCGAGATCAACAGTGGAAGCTCATCGTCCGTCCAGCCAGTTTCAGAAATCGCGACTAGATATTTATTAGGGATATTGGTTTCACGGCACCAATGTTCAAGATACGTTCTGCCATGTAGGATAACCTATGGAGGTATTTTATCGATATTTGGGGTGATGCACTTAACCACTTGACCACGGTGACATCGGTGCCAGATTCCTCCATCGGAGCTTGTGGTGATGGTTCGGGAGACGAAAGAAAGTGTCATCAAAGTTATGGATGTTCATCGGACAAACCCTCCTGGATGCGATATGCGGCTTAAGTTGATCGAAAAACTGTTAAACGAGGCCAAAATCTTTGACACATTGTAACCTTCTTATCCGACGTCCGACTTGTGATAAGTTTGATCTGCGCAGGCAGTTGTGGTAGGAGGCGATAGTTCTAGTTCTTCCAAGCTTTTGTGTGTGGTCGTTCCTGCGTAAATAGGTCTGGTTTTCTACCTTTTTAAGCTCGGCGACGATCGGTGCTAAACCGAAGGCACCTTCTGCCAAGCAGACTAAGGGATCGGCCCTGGATTATACGGAGGGCATGCGGCCGTGGATGGGCGCGCGCGCAATCGCTGGTATAGCACGTCGAATTCGCGTCCTAAATGGGCGATGTTCTGGTCTTCTTCTTGTCATATGAAGCCATAGCTGATTCCATACGTTATATAGGATCAGAAGCGTGGCACTACGAACAGGGACTGCAACCCTGAGAGCACAGCGGGGCCAGCGGTAATTCCGGATCGATCATTGGACCCACGCGGCCCGTGATAAGGCGTGTACATATCAGGGACAATTGGAGGGCTTTGGCCATACCGATTAATATTATTAGCAACTCAAGCCCAACTTATGCTACTGCATTGATGAAACAGGGCTTCAATGATGGGTCGAGATCACTGATGTGCCCTCAAATACCAGCGGGTTTATGTTGCTAGTCAAGTTGGTCATGGTGGGGATCCGACGAATAAATCGACCAACCATGCTTTAGCAAGACCGATGTTGTAGGCGCTAGCCTCCCTCAGCAGCGCTGGAGAAATTAAGAAAGCACGGTCGCCTCCTACACACTCATCATGGCCAACGCGTTTTGTTGTCTCTATCCCGATGACAACTGAGCATGGTGTTTTTTGCATCGAAATTACGCTTTGTACAGCTCCTTTTCGTCCTATTCTGGGTCTTTTTCTTCCTCTTCAAGCTACGACCGAGCATAACCGCCCCCGTCCAGCAGGTCTGGGGCGACCGGCATGATCGGGACGACTTCGATGCCATCAGAAACGAAACCCTTGGGGTAATGATTACACTCCAAGCCTCACCTAGAGATCTTTCAGCTCATGACTATTTAGTTTCAAAAAGTCTTCGCCATCAACCTTGTCAGCCGGCCCGACAAGCGGGACAACATCGTCCTAGGCTCATCCCTCAGCAATTTCCACGTAGAATGGATCAACGGCGTGACTCCAGATGAAGTAGATGCTAAATCCTATCCATATGTATGTTTGCTAAAGTTACACAATACACACAAATGACTGACCTTTTCTAGAACTGGAACTATGACCATAAAACGACCGAGTACGCGGCCCGACGGGCGCATGTCAACGGACTCCAACGGTATGTGGTTGAAACTACAATATTTGACTTCAACTAATTGTCCCTAGAATTGTACAGGAGAGATTAGGGAGTGCTATCATTATGGAAGACGATTCAGACTGGGATGTATCAATCAAAGTCCAGCTTCAGAGCTTCGCCCACGCAGTCCGAGCCCTCCAGCTCCAGAAAGCTCCGTCTCAGTCACCATACGGCGATGACTGGGATATCCTATGGCTAGGACACTGTGGCATTTCATGTAAAACTAATTTGCCATTTTACCTTGCCCCAAATGATCCAACTATCCCAATGCCCCACCACTTTCTTCCCCAGTGGCGCGACCCTCCGGTATTCGAGGGTTACGAGAGACCTGACCACAGTCGACTTGCGTGCACAGCAAACGATGCAGTCTGCTCAATGCTTTATGCCGTGAGCTATAAGGGTGCACAGCGGATTCTCGCGGCCCTTTCGGTTAACCCGTCTGGTCTTGCGGAAGAAATTGATATTGGCGCGCAGTTTGACGTATCACTTGGGCGTATGTGCGGTAATGGTTATTTGCGGTGTTTTGCACCTTACCCTTCTATCACGGGCGGCTTCCATCAGGCAGGTCCAAAAGCAAAGTTTTCTGATATCCACAATGATGAGAGCGGCGAGGAAGAAGGCTTTTTCAGCTGGGGAGTGATGTATAGCACAATGCTCAATATCAACCGTATCCTGAAGGGAGAACAGACCGTTCATGCGACATGGGGCGATGTGGATGTGTTGGATGTCGTTCCTGAAGACATCACAATGGAGAAGGGGGCTATTTATATTCCTAAGCACATAGACTGAACTTAATAGGAGGAGAAAGTGTTAAATGTCGGTGAAAGCACTTCAGAATAGATACCGGTTAAGCTATGGATTCTAATTCTTTTTCATTCTTACACTAGATAGTACTCATTTTTGGGGCATGCTTTTTCCGTGTATGGACTCCCATGTGGACCACCATGGAATCTTAGACATCAGAAAATAGCTTTAGATGTAACGAGATGGCGTTGATCTCCGGCGTCTAGCTGAAAACGAAGTACGTGTCCGTGCTATTTCTGCTATTTCTTTCGCAGTCACCCAGCCCTTTGGAATTGGCGCCCGAAAATCAGTGGCATACTCTTAAGGCAGTTTAGATGGTGTTCACCCGAAGACATCTACTCTCGAATTCTCTTCCACGGAGCCTTCTTGTCATAATTATTCGTGATTCGGAATGCTGGTCTTTCACTCACTCTATTCTGGGCGAGAGTAGACTTGATTGGGTGTGTTGTGTCCGATTCAGCCCCCGTCTGTCCCCAAAACCACAACCCCGTCAGTTTAGCGTAGTTGGGGCGATCACGAATGCAGTTAGATCAACTTCTCTCCACAGTTTCCGATGTCTGATTGCACCGTTGGTCTTCCTCCTGCATTAATCCCTGGCAACAAGTTTGGCCCCGTTCATTTCACGTACCTCCAAGGCCTCCAAGGCGCTTAAAGAAGCAACTAACCATTCGACGTTATGAGGTCAATGGACAAACATGTTGGCGTTCTCATAATAGTTCACCACTCTCGCTGGGGGCCGTGTGTTTTCTCGGTGTGTTTGGATTCCCCAGCCCACCGCGCGACTCATATATAACTACCTGGGTTGCCCATTTTTGTTTCCGGACTTGACTTTGAGGCTCACTTCGTCATGCGTCAAGTGGGATTTCTGCTATTATCCCTTGCGGCTATCGTCTCTCTTGTGGCTGGAAGTGACCCTGACAATTATTTCACGAGTCCAGCTGACAACACTGGCATCAATCCGGTCTTCACACTAGGTGACAAGCTAGTTGTCTCATGGAAGACCAGGCTTGATGTATTCAATGTCTCTATCTGGCAGCAAAGCTTAGTAGAGACAGGTGCCGCCAGCCAGGGAAATATATATTGTTAGTTTCACAACGTTTTCAAGGCCATAATGCGAGATGATTAACATTTTCTAGCTAAAATACACTCCACTGATAAAGTCACCAATTTCACATGGGTTGTCCAGGTGTACGGATTTGATCTTTCATACTCCAACGAATTCTTCCTCTGGGTCAACCCAGATGAAAAGGGTGGATTTGTTTCTACGTACTTCAACATCACCGAACCTGCCTCCACTACCAGCACTGCGTCTTCATCAGCATCCACATCTGCATCTGCATCGACGAAGACGCAGAACACGGCCACCACACCCTCCTCCCTCACATCGGCATCATCGTCTTCTTCGGACCCATCTTCTCAAACATCCGAGTTAACTCTGACCGGAAAGATCGCAATTGGAATCGGTGCCGGTGTTGGACTTCCGATACTGTGTGCTTTGGGTGCCCTTCTCTATCTCAAGACACGAAAATCAGATAACAAGATTGAAAAAACAATCTCACCACCGGAGCCAATGCCGCCATGGATGGTTATGCAGAACCAGCATGCTCAGATATCATGGCCCAAGGAGGTGCATGGATCGAGCCTGAAAGCCTCTTTTGCCGAGCTACCTAATCAGCCATATCGGTGAAAGGAAGTAAATGTGATACGCGTTATGTAACAGCCTGTACGAAGATGGATCACTCCAATGTTTCATACGGAAGCGTGATAAGCGAGAGATGTTGTTACACAGTAGATGTCGTCTATAGCCTTGCTTGTAAATATATCGGAAGTTCTTATTTAGTTGCATCGTATTGAGACTAAGCACAAGCTGTATATAATAAATCTAGAAAGTTGCTAATAATAACAACTTATATCTGACAGGAAAGCATGGTTACAGCCTTCGGCCTCAACCCATGGTAAATAACTTGTCAAGATAATGTGTTGTTTTCTCAAATTGCTCTTGTCTCACTGTGAGACCATTTCCGAGCCACTTAAACATGGTTTCTTACGTCTCCAGCCCTGTTGGTAGTATCCGAATCGGGGGTTACTCATCGAACGCCCGGGAGATGGAAAACGTTCATTATGTAGTAGATGATATTTTGTCTCTAGTAACAGGTCCTTCGCTTTACAAATCTAAACCGAACTATGAAGCATGTTGCTTACCCAAGATCCTCATCGAACTAGCCAACAGTATGTAGCTGACTGTTAACTATGAGGGAGCAGAGAACCGTCCCATTTTTGATTGATCGGACTTGCTTTTCTGGAAGATAACACATTGGCCATGGGGATTGTTTAGTTGGCTCGACTTCTTGTTTTTAGCCTTGGGTCTTTAATTTTTTGCCATTGCCGAATGAGGAAATTGGGTTGTTTGTTTGGCGCCGGAATTGGCTTGGACGAGTTTTGGGGTTTGTAGGTTTGCGTTGGGTTTAGACTAGGGGCAGAGGAATGCAGTCTCCAGGTGTAGGGATGAGTACCATACGTTAGTGTATAGCAGGACTTTGATTTCCCAGGCCGATGAGACGAGTCCTGTACAGTAAGGAATATCTACGATTAGCCTACAAGGTCTGCAAGAGAAGAATGAATAACAGAACACGTTATTGAAGTAATAATAGACAAATCCAGGAAATATCACAAACCCACGCCGAAACACACGAACAAAGGAAAAAAAAGAAAAAAGTCCATCAAAATCATAATATGGGTACACGTGAGAAGCCACGACTATGCACAAACTCAAAAGGGGAAACATCCAAAAGCATTAAAAAGAAAGCTTAACCCTGGCACATGATGCAAGCATCCTTGTTCTCAATGCTGCACTGCAGGACGGCATCAGAAAAGATATCACCCTCCACAGCCCTGCTCTCGGCATTTTCAGGCTCGGCTTCAGCATCCTCAGTCTTGGCCTCGACAGCAGGAGCAGCAGCAACAGGTGCGGCCACAGTGCGCGGGGTCTCCTCGACAGGGGCGACGACCTTGGCGGTAGCGGGCTCGGCGCCACTGGTACGGGGAATAGCCGAGTAAGCGGAGGCACTGGTGCCACCGGTACGCTTCTTAGAGCGAGCGATGTTGGTGTCCTCGACAAGGAGCTGCTCCTGATCGACAGTGAACTGGATGGGGGCGGAGGCGGCCATGGTACGCAGGTAGTACATTCCGGTCTTGAGACCCATCTTCCAGCCGGCGAAGTGCATGCTGGTGAGTTTGCCCATGGTAGGCTCCTTCAAGTGGATGTTGAGGGACTGCGACTGATCGATGTAAGCACCGCGGTCGGCGGCCATCTGCAGAATGTTGCGCTGGGAGATCTCCCAGACGGTCTTGTACAGGGCCTTGATGTCGGCGGGGATGTTGGGGATATTCTGGACAGAGCCGCCATCGGCGATGATACGGTTCTTCATGTTGTCGGACCACAGGCCAAGGTCGACGAGGTCCTTCAGGAGCCAAGGGTTGACGACCTGGAACTCACCAGCCAGGACACGGCGGGAGTAGATGTTGGAGGTGTAGGGCTCGAAGCACTCGTTGAATCCCAGAATTTGACTGGTACTGGCAGTAGGCATGGGGGCAACCAACAGACTGTTACGGACACCAGTCTCGGCAATCTTGGCCTTCAGGGAGGCCCAATCCCAGAGATCAGTGGGGGTACGGTCCCACATGTCGTACTGCAGGATGCCCTGCGAGACGGGAGAGCCAGGGTAGGTCTCATATGTACCCAGCTTCTTGGCAATATCGGAGGAAGCAGTCAAGGCACCGTGGTAGATGGTCTCGAAGATCTGGATGTTGAGCTGTCTAGCCTCGGGGGAGTCGAAGGGCAGACGCAGAGCCAGGAAAGCATCAGCAAGACCGTTGACACCAAGAGCGATGGGGCGGTGACGGAAGTTGCTCTTCTTCGCCTCAGGAACGGGGTAGTAGTTGATATCAATGATCTTGTTCAGGTTGTGAACGAGAACCTGCACGACCTCATGGAGCTTGCCAAAGTCATACTCGCCTCGGGCAGAGTCAACGAAGGTAGGAAGGGCGAGGGAAGCCAGGTTGCAGACAGCCACCTCATCAGGGGCACTGTACTCGACGATCTCAGTGCACAGGTTGGAGCTGCGAATAGTACCCAGGTTCTTCTGGTTACTCTTCTTGTTGCAAGCATCCTTGTAGAGCATGAAGGGGTTACCAGTCTCAGTCTGGGCCTCGAGAATGGCGTACCAGAGCTTCTGAGCCTTGATGGTTTTGCGGCCACGGCCCTCTTGCTCGTACTTCGCGTAGAGAGCATCGAACTCATCACCGTAGACATCAGCCAGACCGGGGGCCTCGTTGGGGCAGAAGAGGGTCCAGTCACCGTTGGCCTCAACACGCTTCATGAAGAGATCAGGGGTCCACAAAGCGTAGAAGAGGTCACGAGCGCGAACCTCCTCCTTACCGTGGTTCTTCCGCAGATCGAGGAACTCGAAGACATCGGCGTGCCACGGCTCTAGGTAGATGGCGAATGCACCAGGGCGCTTGTTGCCACCCTGGTCAACATAGCGTGCAGTGTTGTTAAACACACGCAGCATAGGAACAATACCATTGGAGGAGCCGTTGGTTCCACCAATGTAAGAACCGGTAGCGCGAATACGGTGGACATTCAGACCGATACCACCAGCGGTCTTGGAGATCATGGCACAGGTCTTGAGAGTATCGTAGATACCCTCAATACTGTCAGCGCTCACATCAACCAGGAAGCAAGATGCAAGCTGGGGCTGGGGAGTAGCGGCATTGAACAGAGTGGGGGAGGCGTGGGTGAAGTACTTCTGGGACATCAAGTGGTATGTCTCAATGGCCTTCTCAATATCCTCGCCGTGGATTCCGACAGCAACACGCATCAACAAGTGCTGAGGACGCTCAGCAACATTGCCATTAACGCGAAGAAGGTATGAACGCTCGAGGGTCTTGAATCCGAAGAAGTTGTAGTTGAAGTCACGGTCATACACAATGGCCGAGTTGAGCTCGTCGGCATGCTTCATAACGATCTCGTAGTGTTCCTTTGAGATCATAGGAGCAGGCTTATTGTTCTTGGGGTTCACATAATGGTAGAGATCGGAGATGACCATAGAGAATTGCTTTTTAGTTTGTTTGTGGAGGTTCGAAACGGCGATACGTGCAGCCAGAATGGCGTAGTCGGGGTGTGTGACGGTCATGTATGCAGCGGTCTCGGCAGCCTAAGATCGAAATATTAATATAATGTCACACGTTAGGGGCAAGTAAGCGAGCATACCAAGTTATCCAGCTCAATGGTGCCAACACCTTGGTAGACACCAGAGATGACCTTCTGGGTAATGGCTGCAGCATCAACATGTTCGGGGTCGAGGCCATAACAGAGCCTGGAGACACGTGCGGTAATTTTGTCGAACTGCACGCGTTCCTTGCGTCCATCTGCGGTTTATATTCGCGTTAGCCCTCGATTCGAAGATTGTGGCAAAATCAGGTAGCTGTGGCGAGAGGAAGGAGCAGAAGCTATCTCCTGCCACCAATGCATCTGTGTATCAAACAATCATGTATGCACTTACCTCTCTTGTAGACGAACATTTTGAGTAGTGATGAGTTGGTAGGGGGCTGAAAAGAATAGAGAGAAGTGAATGGGGGTATCAAGATCACAGTAGCAGGAGAATGAGATAGTATTAAAGTATAGAGAAAGGGGGAAAAGATGAATGTATGAAGCCCGTAGAGGGGTGTGAGAAGAAGAAGAGATCAGAGGGGCAGAGGAATCTTTGGTTGCCGAGTGGACGCGTTGTCTTTTCGCGTGCCCGCGTTTTTTCAGCTTACCAACATTGGTATCCACCTTTCCTTCCAAACTCCATCCTGCCAGGCAGAAAACATCTATTTATACCAAATGCAGTTAGCGCGTCTATACTACTAATCTTAGCGTGGGTTTACTAGCGGGGATACAGAAGGCGGTGTATGTGGAGAACAGGCGGTGAGATCAGTCCTTGCAGTCAAACTGCAGGTCGCGAATGGTCACGTGAACACGCGAAACCTCGCGCATGGGAACATAGCATCGGAAGGCCTTCCGCCGAGCGGCCTGAAGCATTCCGGGCTCAGATGATCTTTAAATGACACTGCTAGATTGAACTTGGTTTTTGACAGCTTGAAGTTCACCCTGCCATGTCCTAGTCAACACCATATGCAACATCAAGAGGCTCCATCGCAACCTCTCGCCCCTTGCTGCATCACACATCAATGTGATGGATCTACATCGTCCTTCTGATGAAGGGACCAAGAGGAACAAGGATGGCCTTAGAAGTACCTCATATGGACTGTTCATTCTCTTCTACAAGTGAAATCGTGGGCGTCTTTTGGCTATTGATTAGATTCATTTGAATTTGTTTAAATCAACCGACTGATTCGCAATTGAGGCAGATCTAGACGTTTTCAAGAATCGTTCTGCGGGAGGTGAAGAATACATAAATCAATATGATTTTGGCAAACAAAAAGGTAAAAGTTCCAGGGATTCAAATAGTGGCATCAGACGAGCAACATATTAGATAATTCGAACCAGATCCCTGAATAACAACGATGATTCAAATCAGATCGAAAGGAGCAACATCAAGGCTAATAATATATGCTCGCATCGATATTCGCGTTAGGCTGCTCTCAGTTAATGCCAACTTCTTACAGCAAAGCAGCAGCGCCAAGGAACACCGCAGCAACAAAAGTGGTGGCGGAGAACTGGCGGTCGGACGAAGCGGCGTTGAAGGTCGAACTAGGGGACGCGGCAGCACCAGACTCAGAGGCGGTGCCAGTGCTGACTCCCGAGGTACCGGCGGCGGCGCTGGTGCCAGTGGCGACGACAGAGGAACCAGTCTGAGTGGCAGAGGACACAGCGGTGACGAAGCCAGTGGCAGTAGAGCTCTCAGAAGTGCCGGTAGAGGTAGCGGTAGTGGTGGAAACATCAGTGGCTAAAAAAGAAGGCAATAAATAAGTCACTGATTCAATGATGTAACGTGATCTGGGGTATCTGTTAATCCTTACCAACTTTGTGGCCGAGCTGGGCGCAGTTGCTGGCGAAGAACTTCAGGGAGGCCTCGCTATCGGCACAGTTCTTGGAGATGTCAGACTGGATCTTGCTGGCGCTGGAGCCACAAATAGTCTTCGAATCGGCCGGGTTGGCTTGGTTGCTAGATTGTCATCAGCCCGGGAGCCCACTGGACATTCCTTCCATTCCTTCGAACATACCCGATGATCTTAAGAACACAGGCCGGAGTCTGCGCGGTAGTGGCAGTCACAACGTTAGCCAAAGCCACAATGGCAACGGCAAAGAGGGACTTGTTGAAGAGCATGATGAAAGATTGGAGATCGGAGATCGGGAAATTGGAAATGGTTGAAGGATCGGATTCAAGATCGCACAGCGAGTCTGGAGTAAAAGAGTGTGTGGGCTAAAGAGCGACTGTAGAGAGAGTGTGGGAAAAGTGAAAGACAAAGAGTGACGAAGTTGTAAGGAAGATAAGCTCCCGACCAGAGGAAAACGGGGGGGGGAAAGAGGGAAATCGGGCAACCGCAGTTTCATCACAATCTGGAAGCCAAGATGGGGGTCAGGGTCTGTTACATTACAATAATAGTCTTACAGAGATGTACCTATATTACTGAAGCGCTCATATTAAGTGTACTTTACAGTACCTGTTATTTTAATACACATGTTTCTGGTTCCCCATGGCTTGTGGCACTTCGGCTCCCAAAGAGGTTTAGCGTCAGGGACCTGTCCCCCGGATACAGGGGGAGAAGCCTTTTAGTTCGTCAGGTATAAGCGAGTATATGACTCGTGAACAGGTCAAATTTGAAAATATTCATCTTAGCGATGGTATTCTGTAGCATACTAGGTAAGACAATGCTTTTTATTTTCTTCTTATTTTCATGTGTCTTAGTGGCCGATCCGGATGAGGATTAGAGGGCTTCGAGCTCTATTAATAACTCCAGTCAATATTTTTTTTTTTTGTGATTCTACAATAGTAACAATCTACCACTGTCTAGTTTGTCGGCTTCTAGGTCGACTAGAGTGCAGGGAGGGAGTTCACGGGTGTGATTTGGATATTGGTCCGTTTACTCGTTTAGAGACGTTATATTGAGAACATTTTTAGATGTCTACATGTCTTTTTTAAATGTCTTCCACCCCCACCCAACAGACCCTTGTAGACATGATGAATACATATCATAATACCAAAATGAAAAGTCTAACGTGTGGGTTCAACTCCTGCAATCAACCAACTAAGCCTCGTCAGCACCCTAGGCCTTTTGGTTGGCCTGCTCTTCAAATCGCATCCTTTAATCAAAAGGCTGCGAATATGTTAGCTTGAATGATTTCAGATGTTCAGAAGGTCGTATAACTTGCATCGTTCAATTTTCAGTAGCCGTTCAACAATCCTTTGGTGACACTTTTCGAAATTAGTATCTGTTTTTTGAAACTTTGAGCTACATGGAGTACTCACACAGAAGCTTTGTACACATCTATTAACCTAGGGTTACCCTGTACCAAATACATCTCAACAAAGAATCTTCTCCACTCAGCCCCCAAATCCCATCACATCCAGTCTTTAACACTTTGAAGCCCAGGGTATTATTAATATCCCACCATCCGGGGTGCTCAAAATCTACATGTGCACCTTGACATGGGTGATGGATGATCGGAGTACCATGTTGAATAACGTGGAAAGTCATGGCTAACCCTTTAAAGTTGTTTTCCCAATTTCCGAAGTTATCCCTCATATGGATCTAAATATAAATCGAATCAATCAGCTTCCAAGGTTCTTATCAAGACCTAGGTATGTATGGATGTACCGTTGGAATGGCAGCCCTGGAATCCAAAGCCTTGTTCTTGTGTGGGCACTATTCCCAGGTAAAACGAAGTTGGAATACTCATATCAACATAGTATTAACTCTGTACATCATAGGACTTCTTCAATATCAACAAATTGCCCACTCATCATAACTTCTCCCAAACCGGATCAAAAATACTCGAAACAACCTCCTCCACCGGCAACCTTTGATCCACAATCTCCCTCCCATTAACCAAATCATTCTCTCTAGCCCTCTTATCTGCCTCAACCTCATCCCTCGCAATCCCCGCCTTAACATGTCTAGCCACCAACCTTTTCCTCGCAACCTCAAAATCAACATCCACAAACCAAAGCTCATCCATCAAAGCAGCAGCCGTCTTCCATGGTTCCCGATCCAAGCTAAGATAATTCCCTTCAAAAAACAGCACCCGACAACTCGCCGGAATGGCAATATCCCCATCGACGGGATCTTTAATGGCATGGTCAAAGCTCGGCGCGTAAAGAGTGCCCGTCTGGGCCGTAAGCGGCTCTCGCAGAGCCCGCACAAGCCCGAGGAACTTCTCGCCGTCAAAAGTAAAAGCCGCACCACGACGTGCCGCCGCATGCACCGGGTCAGGCATGGCAGCTAACTGTGCGCGCGTGAGATGGTACCCGTCCATTGGGAGGGCGATTGCTATCGGTGTTGGCGTTGTTGGGTTCTCTGAGGCGTAGATTTTGTTAATCCGCGCTGCCATCATCGTTGCTAGGCCCGTCTTGCCGGAGCCTGGGATGCCGCTAATGGCGATCATTAGGCGCGCGTCATCTGCTGTTGAGCATAATTTTGCTGGGGGTTTTTTGTTAGTTGGACGTCGTTATGCGCGTTGGTGATGGGGTTTGAAAGGGCGTGGGGGTGTGGCAGAGGGCGTGTTTCAAGCTCTTGCTCTTCTTTGGTAGATGGGGGCTTGCTTACCCCAGGTCTTGTTGACCAGTCGGTCTACCTGTTGATCCATGGTTGGCTAGTGAAGTCACGCTAGGATCAAATGTGTATGATGGAAATATCCGAGGGAAGAAAGGCCCTGGATTGGTGGGGCTGTGCAAGGTATGGTGATGCACTTGGATGTTGTAGATCGGCGTATAGCAATGTTCGACGTGGGTGCTAACTACTTTGTATGGTGCACATGTGGTTATTTGCCTCTTTGGGTTGTTGGACTAAACATAACTTCTTCCCCGACGTATTGGCGGGGGGCTCTTCAAGTGGGGACTGATGTACTCCGAGACATACGTCACTGAACTTGACAGGTACACAGAGTAAATATCTCCAATTGCCTTGTTTTATGTTGTTTATTGTTTATTGTTTATTGTTCATCCTTTAGACCATAAAAGAATCAAAATATCTGAAATTACAAAAATGCCTGAAAGGCGAACTTGGCAAAAAACAACCCTGGAAAGGCACAGAGGCCGTCGGTGTCGTTTGTTCACTGATAATCGACAATTAAGCAAATCGGAAAAAAATATGGAGACAGGAATGTTAAGATCACAAGATCGCCTCAGAGGACATATCAACGCCGTCGCAAAATCAACCCAAAAAATAAGCTATGTAAAAATCCGCCAAAAAAAAAAACGCCATTTCCGATATCGCCAACATCTCCAGTATCAGATCGTATATCACTCAGTATTGCCACCTGGGCAGCTGAGTTCAATTGTTGCGGTTGGTTCGAGAAGCGCCTTCGGTGTCAGTGGAGTCTATGCTCGCACTGAGACCACGATCGAGAGTGCGTGCAAGGCCGGCCGCGGCCCACCAGTCGTCAGGAATATCCTCACGGCGGGCAAGCCGATCCAAGATGACCTGCATGTGGTGGAGATCATCATTTTGGTGGTGACGGTCGGAGAGGGAGGGATTAGGGCGGCGACCGTCAGAGAGAGTGAGAACGCTTGCAGGAATTATCACGGGGACAGGGGCGGGAGGATGGTTGCTCATCGTCGAATTCTGATCGGGACGACGGCCTACCCGTCCAATGAATTCATGAAAAGTAGAGGGAGCATCCTCGTCATCGGAGGAAGAGAAGTCGCAAGGGTTGAGTTGGTCAGGATAGGGGTCAAGTCCAAAGTGAGCACGGGCAGCTTCCGCGGTCATCGGCTGCGTTAAGTTAACAGAGCTCCGAGGACGAGCATTGCGCGAAATATCTGGAGCAGCGGCAGATGTTGAGGTGAAAGACGTATCAGTCGATGGAAGAGTCGCATCAGGCGTAATTGTTGAGAGCAAAGTCTCCCACGCATCGGTTTCCCGCTCTGCGTCTGGACTAGGACTGCGCTGGCGATCCCCAAGCCCGTCTACGACAGGGTCTCGGGTTGATCGGGGTTGTGTGTTACTAGACCGGTATTCAGGTATCTCTGGTGGGAATGAGGTGTTGGAGGCGCGATCACTGTTGTATCTTTCACGCATAGGGGGGAGACGAACGCCGCTGTCCGGAGGAGTCGAAGAAGCGCTGGTATGGTGGTATGCGCGAGCGGGGGCGAAGTTGGGAGTCAATGAGGGGCTTGCTTGGGAATTTCTGGGCTGACCGTCCATACGACCGAGGAGCTCGGTCAAGGCTTGATCACGATGATTCCTGAACAGCTGGTTGGCTGGCTCTGTCTGTCGGGGTGCACTGGCGGCGCGCGACTGAGCCCAGACGAGAGCATCGCGTTCGGCCTGTTCCAGAGCCACTGCATTCTCGATAGCCCCATTTGGTGGTATGAAAGAAAATCGCGGCACGCGTCTGGGTTCCGCGGTGCCCCGTCGGAGCTCATCAATGATCTGTGAATGAAAAGAAGCCAGGATATCGGCGCGGCGCGCGCGGGAGCTACTGTGCCGCGATGGTCCTCGGCGAATCGACGAGCGCGCAGTAGCCGATGGGTCCTTTTCCAAAGCAGACTTGGATGCTTCGGCCTTAGAAGGCTCGTGCCACATACTGTCGATCAGAGTCAACAGTGTAGGGCGAAGCAGTGGCGCATGCGATAACTTCGCGCCAACATAAGGACGGGATGACTTACGGGATACCCATTTTACTTTTTGAGCAGAAAGGAAGAAGACAAAACCAAATGGTTGAAAAAGAAGGACAAATAATGATCAAAAAGGCAATTATGGAACTAGTACAACACGACTTGCGATAACGGTGGGGATGGTTGATGGAGACGGGGGAGATAGACTGGGATTTTAGAGAAACTCATGCCTGAGGCTGGGGGGTGGCTAGAGTGGCTGGGTCACGTGCCTTTTGTGCAAACATATTAACATATTTGTGCCATGTCTTTTTAGGAAATCAATACAGAGAGTCTCCTTTCAAACCCCTTTGATTTAATTAACTGGATTAGCTGGCGAATAGCTGAATCTTTTATAGAACAGCTCATATTGTGGCAAAGAGGGAAGATCATTATGCCTGAGGCATGAATATAGAGAATATCACGTGGGATTGTTCCTCCGATCACGGTAAGCGCTCCGACCTTTGGAGGTCCACGGGTGGACTACCGTAGCCTACGCCCATCCTAGCTCCATTTTTCTTGTTGACAATGGAGCTTTGAAGTCCTGAAGCTGACCATCATTGCCTGACCATTCGGTTGATAATGACAATTGACCCGAACTTCCCATCACGCCACACTCGGAGGAATGATTGAGTTAGGATTAAGCCGGGTCGCGAGTCTGCTCCAGCAGACTCCGCTCTCATGGAAGTCCATTCACATTGCTGGAACCAACGGTAAAGGATCTATCAGTGCCTACCTTTCCCATCTGCTTTCCACCGGCGGAGTGCGTTGTGGCCGTTTCACTTCCCCGCATTTGATTGATCGGTGGGACTGTATTACAATTGGAGAGAAAGTGGTCCAAGAATCCCTTTTCCGACAGATCGAAGATCAAGTCAAACTACGAGACCAAACTCTAGGCATCGGTGCCTCCGAATTCGAGTTGTTGACCGCAACGGCGTTCGAGATTTTCAACCATGAACAGGTCGAAGTTGGTGTCGTCGAGGTGGGCATGGGAGGCCGTCTAGATGCAACAAATATCCTGAATAATGTTATTGTCTCGGTCATTACAAAGATAGGGATGGACCACCAGGCTTTCCTCGGATCAACACTTGGGGAGATTGCTCGTGAGAAGGCGGGCATCCTCAAGCCTGGAGTCCCTTGCGTGGTAGACAATACGAACAGTCAGGAAGTGGTTGAAACTGTGAGGGCTCATATTCAAGAAATGGGTATTGATTCCTTGTTTGTCTCTCCCGCAACAGTCTCTGAACAGATTCCGGCACTTGCACCTTACTTCCAACAACTTGATCTAGAGCCCCACCAACAAGAAAACATGTGCTGCGCAGTGTCTGCACTTCGTCTTGCCCTTTCTCAACTACGACCCGAGATGGATGCATTCTCGTTGCTTCCATATCTGTCTGATGTAACATGGCCGGGCCGTTTGCAAAATATTGTCCTTCAACCGTTGATCGCCCGCACAGAGCCTATTTTGCTTGATGGTGCTCACAATGCACAATCTGCTGAAGTTCTCGGCAAGTACGTGGACCGAAAAATGCGGATCCAAGGCCAACCTGTGACTTGGGTTGTTGCCGCGTCAAGTGGAAAGGATCTGGCTGGCGTGTTTGGTTCGATTATCCGGCCCGCAGACCGAGTCGCCACCGCCGAGTTTGGTCCTGTGGACGGGATGCCCTGGGTCCAGCCAACTAACGCCCAAGAGCTAGCCTCTTCCATTCAAGCTATCCAAAACATTGGCCAGGTCCAGAGCTTTGAAGGATATTTACTCCCCGCCCTTCAGTGGGCTAGTGAGCAATCTCAAGGGGGTCCTCTTGTCATTGCTGGTAGCTTGTACCTTGTTTCCGATGTATTGCGCCTTCTCCGTGCCCAAAAATGATACCCTGTATAGATCGATTGGATTTCCCCGATCTATATCAGTAAATAATAGAACCCTACGACAACAACAAACCTTCTATTCTTTTTCCATCTCTTATCCCCTCTACTAAACCAAAGTTATATACCAAGTGATTGTATTTTTCTTTGTTAAATAGCAAAAACTCCATCAAACTGGGTACTGTAGGGCTGATCGGCGATCGATTGTCCAGCACAGCCTGCATGATGCGGCGGGTGGAGCACGAAAGTTCAAAACAACCACGATTTCTTTGCGAACAAACCCCCTTCGCACTCTATTGTGACCTCTACTGGATCAATATTCTTTAGAATCCTTCATGGTAATTGTATCCATCTGAAGATCTTACATGCACCTCGACTTGTCGTGAAAACAGCTCTCTAGGGCGTGAGAGCTGAAGTGCTGTAATGTCCGCTTGGTGAGACCCTCCCCACAACGTCCGCACGTGAATGGTCATTCGTGATGCTTGTTTGTGCCTTGATGGACTAGGACTAATTGACAATTATGATTGCTAGAACCTATGACATGACCTCTCAGACCGTTGCTATCAGCTCTTTCAAGGTTGCCTCCTTCCTCGGCTTTCACCCCACCCCCCCTCTACCTCAAACCACACCGTGAGACCCACAGCCAACTTGAACGCGTACTAGGATACAGTCTATCCTAGTCCGCTGCATCATGGTCGCCCGGCCCGGCGAAGGGACCGAAGGGCAGCCTCGCCCTCTCACCCCCTCCTCGAGAACCCCCGGAACCCCGATAAAGCCGCGATTGACACGAGTCGGAACGAGTCCTACAAAGCGAGAAGACAAACCGAAGGAAGACAAAGTTTTGAAATCATCAGCCAAAGATGTTGCAGAGCTCAAGGACTATGTATGGATATGGTGTCTTGTTTCCCCGCAAAACATGGATTAGGCAGATGCTGACCTTGGGTGTTGATGGTAGCAATTGGGAGACTGCCTTGGCAAAGGAGCTTTCGGTTCCGTGTATCGCGCATTGAATTGGAATACAGGGGAGACCGTCGCCGTCAAGCAAATCAAGTTGACGGATCTTCCCAAGAGTGAATTGCGCGTTATCATGGTATGGGATCGAATCGCTCTCGGCGTTCGTCTAATGTGCTAACACGCGATGCAATAGCTCGAAATTGACCTTCTCAAGAATCTCGATGTGAGACACCCTACCAAAATATATCAACTCCATACTAATATGCACTCTCGCAGCATCCCAACATTGTCAAATACCACGGATTTGTGAAATCGGTTGAAACTTTGAATATCATTCTCGAGTACGTTTCCCTCGGTTCAAGTTCAATGGGATATAAAATTGACGGTTTATAGATATTGCGAGAATGGCTCGTTGCATTCCATTGCGAAGAACTTTGGTCGTTTCCCTGAGAATCTTGTGGGACTTTATATGTCCCAGGTTCTTCATGGCCTACTCTACTTGCATGAACAGGGTGTTATCCACCGAGATATCAAGGGTGCGAACATTCTAACCACAAAGGAAGGTCTCGTCAAGCTCGCAGATTTCGGTGTGGCGAGTCGGACCACGGGCTTGAGTGAATCAAGCGTGGTTGGTACGCCGTACTGGATGGCCCCTGAAGTAATCGAGCTTTCAGGCGCAACAACAGCTTCCGATATCTGGAGTTTAGGGTGCACTGTCATCGAGCTACTCGAGGGAAAACCCCCTTATCATAACATGCAGCCCATGCCAGCACTATTTCGTATTGTAAACGATGATCACCCTCCATTTTCGCAGGGTGCCTCTCCGGTATGTCTTTCTGAATTGTCCGGGCATACGTATGCAATACTGACTTTATCTAGGCCGTGAAAGACTTCCTCATGCAATGTTTCCAAAAAGACCCCAACCTTCGAGTCTCGGCAAGAAAGTTGCTTAAACATCCATGGATCGTCAATGCGCGCAGAACCGAATCTGTAATACCCAAGAAATCTACCGAATATGAAGAAGCCGTCAAGAGTGTCCAAGAATGGAACGAGGCTTTGCGGTCACCCGAGACCGGGACTTCAAAGAAAAAGCAGAGGCCAGACCACCCCAGTACTTCAGGCCTGCCATCTACCCGGAATAACCCATTGGTTGATAGCCTGCCATCACCAACCTCTATCAAATCCACTGATCGCTTTCGCTCACCTGTGTTAGCAGGGGATGACAATTGGGATGATGACTTTGCTACTGCAATCTCTCCTAGCGCCCTCAAGTTGCCGCATCTACGGCCACACGATAACTTCGGGGGCATGCTTTCTTCCGAGAGACTTAAAGCTTTTGCCTCACTCGATGGGACTATACTCAAATCGGATGACAGTTCTGATCCCTTTGAGGATAGTTCAGGCTTCTCGGACGAGGATCTGCAGACCATTCGACCATACCCCATCAAAAATTCTATGGCAGAGCCTTCCAAACCCCAAAGCCCTGCGATCTCCCAGCCTGGATCCAATGCCCCCGTTTCTGCAATGCAAAATGTTCCAATTCTCACCCAAAATCCCATGCCGAGACGCGCTCGTCCGGCACCTCGTGCGACCAATCTCTACAAAGAGAACTCTGTCGATGATTATTCAGATCTCATTATGGACAATGAGGATGTGCTGGATCAAAAACTAGGTGGTTATCAGGTACAGTCTCCGGCAAGACTCTAAGCTCCCTGTATGATTCTAACATTTTTCAGGACTTCGAGGATGATCCATCATCACCTATTCATGAGAACATTGGATACAACCAAATGGATGACGATCTTGGTGGCCCGCATCCTCAGCTGCGCAAACAGCTTTCTGTCAAGCGCGACCGCTCTACCATTGAGATCCAGAGGTTTGCCGAGAATGAAAACGATGAGGACTTCTCTGATATTCTTGGGGCCGATCAAGCCGCTCTAGATCAGGCAGAGAGTGACGATGGCTCAGATCAAAGTACATTAATGCTAAACACGAAGCTGTCGAACTCATGGCTAGGAGATCAGGAAGACGAGGATGACCCCTTTGCGCAATTGGAAGAAGGCTTTGATGAGGTGGATCTAGAAGAAAATATCGCGCGTGATAAATACGCACGTC